CTTGCGCACCCTCACTCACTTGCGCACCCACGCCCAAAATGTCACTCACTTGCGCACCCTCATCACCTCTCATTCATGTTCCAGTGGGGTGGGGTGGGGTGGGATAACTATTATAACGTTCATGTTCCTATGCACGCACAGGCACAGCAATCTCATCATCTTTCTTGCCGTTGAGCAGAGACAGGCACAGCTCTTTCATGATCAGTTACCGGTGGGGTGGGGTGAGTTAATAAGGTTCATGTTCCTATGCACACAGAGGCACAGCAACCTCATCATCTTTCTTGCTGTTGAGCAGAGACAGGCACAGCTCTTTCATGATCAGTTACCGGTGGGGTGGGGTGAGTTGATAACACACACACACAGCAACCTCACCATCTTTCTTGCTGTAGAGCAGAGACACGCACTGCTTTCTCATGATCAGTTAACGGTGGTGGGGTGAGTTAATAAGGTTCATGTTCCTATGCATACACACGCACAGCAACCTCATCATCTTTCTTGCTGTAGAGCAGAGACACGCACTGCTGTTTCATGATCAGTTAGCGGTGGGGTGGGGTGAAGTATGAACGTTCTGTCCACTTAGAACTTCCAGAAAGTTACTAACTTCTCTACTGATGTTCACGAGGTGGGGTGGGGTGGGGAAGGGTATTAAAGTTTTGTCTTCTAACATCACTTGCAACTATGTGGTTATCTTCTTCTTCTCCAAATTGCAACTACGTTGTTGGCTCTTCTATAACATCACTTGCAACTACTTTGTTGCCTCTTCTAACATCACTTGGAGCTACGTTGTTATCTTCTTCTTCAAATTGCAACTACGTTGTTGGCTCTTCTAACATGACTTGCAACTACGTAGCTGCCTCTTCTAACATCACTTGGAGCTACGTTGTTATCTTCTTCTTCAAATTGCAAGCCGTCCTGATTTCGACTGGCAGGCGTGGGAAAATGACTCGCAGGCACTCGTTGCCGCCCCTATTGTTTTTCTTACAAAACAGAAAAAACAGCATTTCACCAGCACGAAACGATCCAACAAAACTACCCCATGGAATTGCCACGAAAAAAAAGTTTAAAAAAATGAAGTATGCCAAAACCTCACGTTTGAAACAGTTTGTATCAAAGAGCTGATTTACAGAAGTCAACGCCGCCACTTGCGGGTTCCGGTCGAGGGGATGATCATGATGACGGTGATGATGCTCGAGATGATGATGCTGATGCTGCTTGTGATGATGGTGCTGTCGAAAAGATCAGGATGATGATGATGATGATGCTGAAGATGATGCTAATGGTGATAGTGTGGATGAGATCATGATGATGCAGACATTGATGATGATGATGATAATGATGATGATAATGATGATGATGAGAATGCTGATGACGATGAAGAGAAAGATGGTGAAAAGGACGAACAGTCATAAACATGATCATGATTTACATGGGTGTACAAGCGAGGGAAAAAGTGGGTGTACAAGCGAGTGAAATTTAGGGTGTACAAGCGAGTGGTCATCCGTCGTCGGTCGACTCCGGCTCCGTCGCTGAGTCCGACCTCGGTCCACGGCGGTCACAGCATTTGACGCCTTTTTTTTGTCTATCGGGAGTGTGACAAGACCCGCCGACGTTTGCACTTGAGATCGTCACGGAGCCTCGGCGGCGAAGGTAATGACGTAGTTGCGCGAGTAAGCGCAGCGCAGGCCTGGGGCTTCGTCGGCTGGTTCTATTGGGGTATACAAAGCATGTCAGCTTGAGGTCTGGACAGATATACACCTCGTTATCTCCGCGGTATGTCGGATCTTCCCCGACATAGTTGCACTTGCGCTGGCACTCCTGAGCGGTTGTCGTCTCTTCAGTGTGGGGGGCAGCCTTTCTCGCACGCCTGGTTCTTCCTTCTGACGAGCCTCGGCGATGACGATCACGACGTCTGCGCCGGCTCCTGCTCCGGCGGGCCTCTTGTGGCGGAAGCTTGGCATTGGCATAGCGAGGAGCCAGTGGAGGTGGATAGTAGGCAGGAGCCTTGGGACAAGGCGTGAGGCCAGCGGTGCCACGAGGTGGGCGTTCTGGTTCAGGAGGGCGGCGGTCACCTCCTGTAGCTCTCGGATCTTCTTGCACAGACTCTCGGTGGCTTCGCGACCTTCTCTCGCGGCTGTTGGCGGGCATCTGAGTAGCTGCCGTGGTGGGGCACAAACTACGAATCCAGGCCTTGAGCATCCCTGCAGACATGTGAAAAATAATAATTTAAAATAACCTGACTGTCACATGATCATGTAAGGTCATTGGAAACCAACCTGAAACGAAGCCACCCGCGGCAAATCTTTTTCCACCACCCTTAGCCGCCGGACCTTTGCCAGCACCAGCCGGTTTTTTCTTATGCTTCCTACCGCCTGATTTTCGAACGAACCCTTTCCCTTGGAAACATAAAATTGCCACCGCCTCGCAACGGCCGCCAAAGCGCTCCAGGACGAAGACCTTGGTCGAGCGCTTTAACCGCTTTTGATGCAGCGCGTGTGCAGTTCATTCTTTACCTTGAGTTGAACTACTTTGTCATCAACTGCTCTGAGTGTCGCACGTGACGGGCAGGCATCTTTCCAGGAACCTCAGTACAATGCTTGCTGATCCCGTTTCAAGTCACTGGTCTGTCCATGCTGAAGATCTCATGACACCACATATTACTATCTCACAGTTCCTCTCTGAGTCTCAAACCGGGGTCACACGGCGAACCGCAAGCAAAGGCAGGCAGTGGTGCTATGAGTATTCAAAGATGCAGACAGATGTATGTGCGTGAGTCCTGTTCTGTTCGATCAGTTCACACATGGGGCTAAGCCGACGGCCTATTTGGTTTGACTGCGCGTTTTTTTCACTTTTTCTCGTGCTTTTTCTGGTGCTTTTGTTCGTGCTTTTTTTTGCCTCCGCACCTATTAAATCATACAAAAAAAGCAATTTGTGGGTTTCTTCTTTTTATTTTCTGGATTTTTCTCGTGCTTTTTCTGGTGCTTTTTCTCGTGCTTTGTATATCTATGTACGCATGTGTGCACATATTGAAACATATGGAAATATAAGTTAATGAAATATCAACACATATGAATTATGAAGGTTTCTGATGGTTTACGCAACTGACGGTCAGAAGGCGGCTGCAGGACAACTACCAGGAAATGTGAATCTAGACAAACGACCAGAACCACAAATATGCAACCTTCTTTGGGCCAAATCCCAAAGGCCAGAACCTTAAACTTTGTTTGAAAAGGAAATTAGAGAATGGCAGGAATAACAAACACAATCATATTGATTCAATGGTAGTGAATCAGTTCAACAGATTTTGCAAACAAGTACAACCAAATCAATCAATTTGATGTGCCATTGTTCTCCCTACAGTAGTTCTCCAAATGAGTCCAAATGTCCCCCCAACCACTCGGGCAGTATATGTGGAATCCAAGGGGCTCGCGGCACGGCTCAAAACAGGGCCTGCCATCAGGACCTCAAACCATCATCGGAACATCAAGGGATTTTGCCACTGCTGTAGAAATCATTGGCATGTTCTATACGTAACGGTAATTCCATGGTAATTATGACAGAATATTTTCGGATATGTGGATATCACAAACATGGCATGATATCAGGTCTCCAGAACTTGGAATGATCAACCACTGGATGGGGTTTGGCGTTTTTAAAGGTGGACCATCATCTACCAACAACATCCAACAACCATGGCATCCAGGAGGACGATCCTCCCAAGATTGGGGCGGAAAAAATCCAGGAATTTCAGGACCCTTATGTCACTGCAAGTCATGGAAGGCGTCGTGCTTTGTACTGTAGATTGTAGATAGGTTTCCTCTTGACCTTTTCAATGATCAACGTGAATTTTTCGGAAAAACTTCCGAGTTACGGAGAAATTGAATTGCCTTCATCATTCAGTTCAATTCAACAATACAGCACCTCAATCAGTACATCACTTAAATCATTACATTATATTACATTACATCGCTTGAACACTACATCTCAATCATTAAATTCAACAATACATCACTTCAATCACTCACTTCAACAACACATCAGGTCAATCATTACATTACTTCAACAACACAGCACCTCAATCATTATATTATTTCAACAACACGTCACCCCAAACATTACATTACTTCAACAACACAGCACTTCAATCATTATTTACTTCAACAATACATTACCTCAATCGTTACATTACTTCAACAATATATATATATATAATTATATATATATCACCTGAATCAGTCACTTCAACAACACATAATTTCTAACTATCTATATGTATACAATAACATCACTTCAACAATATATCGTCTCAATGGTGTTTGGCAATGTTTGGTGGCAGATCGCGGTGGAGTGGCTGTGAGATGCTGTGAGAAGTGAGAAGCTTGTTGTAGCTACTTCGGCGAAGTGGTAGTGACATGTAGTGACATCATTTAACTGATATTGAACTTCAATTCCATCCTTGACATCCAATTCATTTTCCTTCCTTCATTTATTTCATGTCAAGGCAAGTGAATTTAATTGTGTTCACTCGCCTCATTTCTTCGATCCAAGCCATTTCGTGTCGGTCAACTACTTGCATCCATTCAGTGCAATTCAGTTTCATTCAGTTCAAGCATTCATTTGATTCATTTGTGTCGTTTCAATTGACGGTGCAGCAGTGCAGCACATCACTTTGCATCATTCAAGCTGGACCTGACGACGCCAAACCTTCTTTTCCTATAGGATCCTTTTTCGCCCTCGCCTCGGGCGGGCACTACTGGTATTCTATTAGATTCCCACACCTTAGATATCCCTAAAAGACAGGATCCTAATGAACACAATCCTTCATAATAATAACAAGTAACAATTATGATACCAATGAATGCTATTTACAAACAATATAACAATAGGACAATATTCAGAAACAGTCACAATCTTTGAACAACAAAACTCATCGATACTAATCTATTAGTATCCATAATATGATAAACCCAACAATGAGCCCCAATTTCGCCAGAAATAGGTCCTCAATTCTCAAAACCATACGGCCCAGGCACCGCTGGCATGTTGGGCGCCCGTTGCACCGCCGTCCGCTGCGGCTCGCTGGGTGAGGGTGAGCGAGTCATGTGCCGCCAGGGGCTGCCGAAGGAAGGGGTGGAGGGCAAACGGTCGCCTGCAAAAGGGACATGTCATGAACATGTCATGAACATGTTGGGATCTACTGTAAATGATGTTCTCTAAGATAAAAAAAAAAACTGCATGTTTCACCGAGAACTTTTGCACATTTACAGTATCATTTATTTATCATGATTTATCTGACAGATCAACAAACAGGGGTTTCTTAAATCGTGGGCAACCCCAAGTTATCATCTATTCTTGGGAGACCAATGGGGAAATAGGGGAACCACGCAAATTGTGATGCAGTCATAACATGTCATAATGTTTACCCCACCAAATATGAACTCAGAAGTACCAACAAAACATGTTTTCCGGGTTTTCAGCTGCGTTTTGAGGCGACTTGAGAAACAAGCAGGCTCAACTGACCAAAAACTCACGAAAATAGCTTCGAATCTGTGCCAGAAATGCATACGGCTTTCATGATTTTGGAAAGCCGGAGTTGGGCGATGTTGGATGAAGAGTTGCGATCTTATCCACAACTTTGCTTCCAACAAAATGCTTGGATCTTCTACTGTAGGACTGTAGGACTTGAGTACGATGCAATCAGACTTCCCCGAGACATTTAGTTTGTCAACAAAAAAGGAATCTGCTGGGAAGGGCAGAACAGGCGCAACAACCAGGACCATCAAAATCTTGCAAATTCTTCACAATGCATGTATTCACAATTCGGTCTAAGTATGTCTAAGTGCCCTATTTGCGCTGACCTGCAGTTTACACCATGATACTGTACTACGGCGTTATGGTGTTTGAGAGCCATCCCACGTCCAGTGGGACACATTCACCAGGAGTCCTTGTCCCCACTTTGCAGATTCTATCTGACTGGAGTAAAGCACCATTTCTGGCAGTTGATCTTCTTTGTCTTGTCAGTGAAATCCAATTTCTTCCGTATTCTGTCAAACGCACTGCTCTTAGGGCTTCAAATGCGCACCCCCAATTTCCCAACACCAAGAGCCTGCCGCGTGCTGCTCGCTTCCTGTCTGGAGTTTGTCCACCGGATGTTGTGGTAATTTGTGGTAATTATATACCAGTTATATACATCATTATACATCTAATTACCATATTTTGAACAAACTCACATTTTGGCTGAATTTCCTATTTTTGGTGCTGGAAATACCAACTCGTTGGCATTTCTTGTTATACCTCCAATCTTCGTGCTGCAATGGACATCCTAATGTCACCACCATCCTACCATCCTCAGATCTGCAAGAGTACGGCCAGTATAGCCACGGCGTCAGAATATCTAAGGCACTAAGGATCAGCAAGGTACCAATGTGGGTAAAACAATCATAAACAATCAGCATTTGGGAATGGTTTATACCAACAAAAAAAATGGTGATGACTGGGGTCCTTTGGGGGATGGTAAAGTTTATGGCATGTACCATCATTTACCATCATTTACCCACATAGCAGCATTGCAAGGTAGGTCCGTGGCCTTCCCAGTGGCCCCCCACGGGCCACGCTCTTGCGAATTGGGCCTTGACGAGAACGCCGCCGCTTTTGTGTGATGGGGCTTTCGCTGACCTGCGCACAGGTGATGCAAAAATGGGGTGAGACCGCTCTCCAAAAACAATGTTTATAAAGGCAGTACAATAATGATATAATGATTATTAATGATTTATTCATCATGTATTAATAATGTATTAATAATGTAGTGTAACATAGTGTAACTATCAATCAATAGTTTTAGTATGTATAATATTGTATAATATCAAAGGACTCTGGCCTCTTGCAGCGGCGCGAGAGCAGCGCTGCTGTTGCCTCACGCATCCGAATTTCACATGTCGATCCGACTGCGGTTTTTGGCAGCTGATCAATCATTGTTTATTACTCTTGCGGGATCTAATATTGATCTAAGAAGATGATGATGATGATGATGATGATGTTCCAAAAGGATCTGATTGGTATTTTTTCCATCCAAAAACAGATGATGATGACACACATTCTGCACCTTCCCGATCATCGCTTCCTGCGCAAAGGATGGCATGGCAAGGGCAAGGTGGCATCTGTCTGGAGAAGATCGTGGCAAGTATCCAACTTTATGGTTCGGTGTTTCTATACTTCACCAGTCTTTTCACTTTTTTTTTGCGCCTTGCACGGTAAACCTCAGTGTGTCAAAAGAAAAACACATCCATAAAATAATCATGAAGCACTATCTTTGATTCATCACCAGAAGTTGAGATTAAACTGCTGTCTCAACCTCAAGCCAGCCATTGTATCCCTACTGGGCACCTATGGGCACCTGCCGTGTTCGATCATGGACTTGGCTTGGAGTTGCTAGGAAAAGTAAAACCATGGTGCTATCAGCCATTACAAACAACAAGCATTTGCCTTTGTTGTTTCTAATGTCATACTTGTTCCAATAGCACACCACCCAACAATCACCAACAATTCACCAACAATTCACCAACTAACTTCAATAGCAACCGACATTTAGCACTCTGATCTGCTCATGTTTCCCAAGACCAAGGCTGTCCGGCGCTGCGTGGCTCGGGTACATGATAGGGCTTGGCACCTGAAGCGTTACGGCAGCTGGAGTTTCAACTGGGAGACATCTAAAGTGGTTGTGAATTGTTGGTGAATCATCGACATCAACTGGTTGGGATGGTTGAGACATGTTGAGACAATTCAGGACATCTCTGGTTCTTTTTCAGATTCTGTAAGGTGAACACAGCGCGCAGTGGGGCATTGACATCAAGTGACAAGACCTTGTACTTGGCTGCTGAAAAGGTTCCAGTGGTGAAGAGCTCAGAAGCAAATTAAATGTTATTCAAGGAAAACAACTTCCACATGTCTATCTATGTCCATGCATGTGCAAAAATGAACGCCAGGCAAACAGTCCAAATCCCGTGCTGGTTCTGAAGCCAGCCTCAACTTTGCAACTTTGCAACCACCCCCAACAAATTGGTAGGGACTGATATGGGTGCCGTTTTGCAAACCTTCAGTCCCACATTCGAAGCCAGCTGAACTGTGCGAGTTTGTTGACTCACAAGCTGCTCACCAAAATAGAACCCAACTCAAAAGTGCGTACAGTGCTTGGCAAGGTAACTCTGTCAAGGCTTTGGGTGAAACCGTTCCCAAGTGTTAAGCTTTGAAGGCCGCTTGGCAAAGTCACACGTTCCAGGCTCTGGTTGAAATAAATGCCGAATGTCAAGCTTTGAAGAGCCCTGGGCAGGGTCACACGTTCCAGGCTCTGGTTGAAATAAATGCCGAATGTCAAGCTTTGAAGAGCCCTGGGCAGGGTCACACATTCAAGGCTCTGGTTGAAATGACCGTCAAATGTCAAGCTCTGAAGACTGCTTGGCAGGGTCACGCATTCCAGGCTCCGGTTAAAGCCGTAGCCGAATCTCAAGCTCTGAAGAGTGTTCGGCAAGGTTACACGTTCTAGCGCCTGGTTGAAACCAGCACCAAATTTCAAGCTCTGCAGACTGTTTGGCAGGGTCACGAGTTCCAAGCTCTGGTTGAAACAATCACCAAATGCTAAGCTCTGCAGACTGCTTGGCAGGGTCACTTGTTCTAGGCTCTGGTCGAAACAAGCGCCAAATGCTAAACTCCGAATAGTTCTTGGCAGGGTCACTTGCTTAAGGCTCTGATCGAAATCATCGCCAAATGTTAAGTTCTGAAGACTGCTTGGCAGGTTCAGACATTCCAGGCTCTGGGTGAAACCGTCGCCCAAAGTCAAGTTCTGAAGAGTGCTTGGAAGGGTCACTTGTTCTAGGCTGTGGTCAAAATCAACGTCAATTGTCAAACTCTGAAGACTGCTGGGCAAGGTCATGCGTTCTAAGCTCTGGGCGAAGCAACCTCCAACTGTCAAGTCCAGAAGACTATTTGGCAGGATCAAGCATTCCGGGCTCTGATGGAAATGACTGCCGAATTTCAAGCTTTGAAGACTGCTTGGCAGCATTACTTCTTCTAGGCTCTGTTCAAAATCACTTCCAAACGTCAGGCTATGAAGAGTGCTTGGCAGAGTCACACAATCCAGGCTGTGGTTAAAGCAAGCGCCAAATGTCAAGCTCTGAAGAGAGCTTGGCAGGGTCACTTGTTGGAGATTGCGGTTGAAATCAAAGCCAAATGTCAAGCTGCGAAGACTGCTTGGCAGGATCACTTGTTCTAGGCTCTGGTCAAAATCACTTCCGAACGTCAAGCTCTGAAGAGTGCTTGGAATGGACACGCGTTCCAGGCTCTTGTTAAAACGCAGGCCAAATGTCAAGCTCTGAAGACTGCTGGGCAAGGTCACGTGTTCCAGGCTCTTGTTAAAACGAAGGCCAAATGTCAAGCTCTGAAGATTGCTTGGCAGGGTCACCTGTTCTAGGCTCTGGTCGAAACCATCGCCGAATGTCAAGCTCTGCAGACTGCTTGGAAGGGTCAGATGTTCTAGACTCTGGTCGAAACCATCTCCAAATGTCAAGCTCTGCAGACCGCTTGGAAGGGTCACCCTTTTCAGGCTGTCTTTGAAACAATCGCCAAATGCCAAGCTTACAAGGCTTTGCGGGAGATGGTGCAAATACCTGTTGCTTCTTGCACCTGCAATCCGTGTAACTCCGTACACTTCGAGCTCACCCTCAGGGACTTTATATCCTTTGACAAAACGCCATGCAGCATACAGATCTGTTGGAACAAAAGTGCAAGAGAGTGTTGCAGCCCTCACAATGCCCTGTTCCTGCAATGATTTGTCGAGCATGAGCCTTGATTCAAGGTGAAACAGGATCAACTTTCCACCTTTCTTTGGTGGAAGCTGCTTGGAAACCATTCGGTGTACTTCCCAACCCAAACAGGCACCACTGAGTTTCAACTTGCAACCTTCACCATTCAGGCACAAAATATGAAGATCAATCAGCTTGGGATCAATATTTGCCTCATAGCCACTAGCAGCACCAGTAGTGGACGTCATTTAGTGCAGTGAGACAAACACCGTGCTTTGCCGGCATCGTTGAAACATGTTGAAACGCTTGCAATCATTAAGGTAGATATTCATGTTGAGGTAGGCGGATATTTCTGGATCAAAACCTCACCCACTTGCATGTCTTACTCTCAATATGTGTCTGGTCATTGATGTGCTGTCAGATACTCTCATAATAATCTCATAATATATTGCGAAATCATGGCCATCCCTGGTAACGCACGGATGATAATGCATATTATGTAATGTAACCCGCTGTGGCGGAATTCCCTGCAATGCGAGAAAGGCGAGGCACTTTTAATGCACACCAATGTGTAGGTGTTTATCTATGTGTATGTGCGCGTGAATGTCAGTGTATGTGTATGTGAATATTCACACCATTCTGCGCATTACTGGGCTTGAGCCGAAGCCACATCTGGACTGGAGATGACCAACCATACCCTCTGGTAACATAGCGATTGGACATGGCCATAGAAATAGTGGTTTTTCCCATTAAAATTATGGTGATTTTCCATAGTTATGTAAACGTTGACCAGAGGGTACCAACCCTGCTCTCGCCAACCATACCCGCCACCAAAATGGTAGCTGAGCTGCGGGAGTCACAGCTCGGAGACGAGCTGGTGGCTGATGACAACCTGTGGTTTGGGTGGCTGGTTTGCTTCCCAGGTCCAAAAAAAATCAAAAAGAAACCTGGGGAGAAAGCCAAAAATAGCTAACACATGCTAACACCATTGACTTTGACATCGTTTGACAACAAACAGTTTCGCAAAACAACAAACAGTGGATACACCACCAATGAGTCCGAGGTCTGCGAGTCAGCACTCTGGTTGCCCCCAAAAAAAGATGCCCATCAACAACTTCAAAATGATGGGCAACATGGTGATTTCCACTAGCTATGTTATGCTATGTTAAATATATTTAAATATTGCCAGAAGATATCTGTTGGAAGGGAATTCTTGGATCCTTCCTTCACCTTGGCACCAAGTGTCTGACAATGAGACCCCACGTTCGGCGCTCGAACCGGAGACACGGCACCTCTCCAGCATCTGCAGAGCTTGTTTTTCGGCGTTCTCTGCCACCTGCAGCTTGGTATGTTCGCCAAACAACAAGGCTGTTGTTTACCACTTCAGTAGCTGCCCACTGAGAGCTGCGGCCTCTGGCCACTCCACATCTTCGGCAGTGCACCTGTCTTCATCTGTTCCAACTCATCCCAAGAACATTTCTGAATGTCTTGGAACTTATTGGAACTTGGACATAAAAATCATGGCAGGTACGAATCGGAAAAACAACACATAGACATTTGAAGCCGCCGACATGTCCAAGACAATGTTGAGCCGCTTCCATCTGAGGAGTGCCCAAAGCTTCTGAAACCCCCAATCCTGGTTGGTTGATGGACATCCCCATCAAACCACCTATGCCAATGCCGGAATGGGCCACAATCTGTGTATATGCACAATATATATATATACATACACCCATGAACCATCACTGCCATCACTCTATCAGAATCTTGGGTGATATCCCCACTTTTACAGCCTCACCCTTAATCCAGGTTAACAAACCATCAACTATCATTTCGAGATCATATCCCACAATATGATGTCATATCTGACTGCAGTATATTTCCACTATATCCCCACTCTCTATCGGTGGAAAATTATCCCATTTCTGACGCTAAGAACCGACTTCAGCCCATGAAATTTTGCTGCGCACCTCCCCTCGAAGAAGTCTTCCACTGTCTCTAGGGTATCGGATCCCCAAAGCCCATGAAGCATTGACCAAAGCTGCCTCACCTGGACTAAATGGGATGCTGTGGGAAATATCACATAATATCACTCTCAAAATGTTATGAAAAGTATTGAAAAGTCATGCTGTTACCTCTGTTTTGAGTAGCGGATTTCAGTTGTCCTATCTTTTTTGGTAGATTCGGTAGATGATTGGACGCTTCCATCTTGGATTTTTTGGTGCTGTAGCCATCCCTACATCTTGCAACAGCTAAAGTGACCAAACCTACTGTGCCAATATGTCATGACCGTCGGGGAATGGGTCTAATGTTGGACATCCTGGAGGCTTTTTTTCGCTGTCAGCCACGGCACGTGAATGGAAAGCCCATCCATTGGCGTTGCAATCGTTGCTCGCTCCTCCAGATCAAACGGCTGTCCGAACTGCTCCAGCAAGGCATGTCCTGAGCTCGGAATGATCAGTGTTCACCCCATCCCCAAACATCGTCAATTCACGTCAATTCAACTTCCATAATCACCCGAAGGAGTGAAAAAGCAACATGGATTGCACACCACTAAGAATGAGGCATCTGCTGCAACACCAATGCATGCCAATGACCTGAATGTGTGAAATTGAATCCACAAAATCCATCGAAATCCCACATTTATGGGCAACTTTCCCATTCAAACTTCCATTTATAGGGGATGTCCCAGCCAGGTTTTGTTTGTTCGAGCATCTCAGCACTTTCTTCAAGCACGTGCGGACATCAGCGCCTGAGGTGTGCCATGCTTATGGTCATCCATCTCATATTGGGAAATCCGCATCATGGCTATGCTAATCCCTGTTGATGGATGGATGACGAATCCCTTTTATGGGAAACCCATGTTTGGACCATGGCAATCTGCACTAGTCATCAAGAAGAAATGCAGCACGCCGTCACGTGCAAACTATATATGCTTTGAATGTTGTGAAAAGAAAGCTGGACAAGACATCACACAACTAATCAACGTGACTAATCAACACAAACTAATCATGTACAAGCACCAACAAGTGATCCGCGCGGTCGTTTCACTTTTTGGGGAACGCGCGGGCACGTTTGGATTTGTAGCGTTCACATCCCACACAAATAGACCCAATACACATAGATCTGGCTTCAAACCCGTATCCAACAGGGACATCAAAGTCGTCACTAGAAGCCTTTGTCCATCAGCAATCTCTGCACAGAAATTTCCCCAGGCGGCCAAGTCGGCCGAGGGGCTGTGGCTTTGGAGATCTTTTTGCAGTTGACCATCATTCTGCTCGGGAGCCTCTTTTAAATAGGTCAACAAATTCACGTCTTCGCCTCTCTCCTGGTGACCACTTTTCTTGGCACATTTTCATGTGGGGGTACCGTTGAGGCACAGTACCCCTCCTGGGGTGCTGCAAACAATGAGTAAGCATAAGCCCTGCAAGTGCATTTGCATTGCTTTCACAAGTAGTACCCTCCAGTAAATTAACGTCGGCGCTGCCAGATAGGGGTTGGAAGATTAGTTTCCACTAAAAACATGTTATTTCAGGGTCTATGTTAATTTACCCAGAGGCCAATAGACTTAACAAACAAATTCAACATAAAGGATAGTCTGATGCACAGTGATGAACATGCATCACAATGTGGTAAACCCAGTAAATCCCAATAATAAACCATCTCCAATTTCATCAAACACGGGTAAACCATGCCCAATTGGTGTCTTTGTCATTTCAATATTTCATGATGGGGCTCACCACATTGTGTATATATATATATGTATATCATATATGATAATATATTATAAAAGAAGGAAAATCCCACCAGCATAGTGATAAACTATCTGAAGCGCTGCCCTGTCCACTGCATGTCCTCCGCACCGTCCCGGCACAGCCGTAGCTCCTGCCAGCAGGGTCCGGTCCGGGAAAAAGCCATGGAAAAAATCTGACATCCACTGGTCGATCATCATATATCATGGTTTTTTCATGGTTTTTTCCACATTAAACTTATTAAACGCCACATCAAATGCTATAACATGAACATTTGGGGCTTCAATGCCCGTGTTCGGACACCGAATTTCAGACACCGTTCATTCGGCTCGAACCACGGGAGACGTTGTGTGACGTCGCTGGGGGAAAGGCACCTGTTGGTGCTGAAAGCGTTGCTGTCGCAACTGCAGCAGCAGCTGTTTGTTCCTCACTGGAACCCCCAATGGGACTCATGGGACCATGGCTTTCCATCACTGGTACCCCTGGTACCCCAAAAATGGATGGCAAATCCCATGGATCACAAGTAATCACAAGACACACTGCCAGTACTGCCCCAATTCGCACTCTGTCACTACTTACATCTACTTACCCTACATCACTTGTCAAATAGAAAGGTTTCGGAATGGTTTGGGCTTCGTCAGGCCCCGAAAGTCTAAATCCTCTCTCATTTTGCTGGCCATTCTGTTAGGTCCTGTTAGGATCTGTTAGGTACCATTTGATTCTGTGCAAGGCTGTACACTGCACTGGACCATGTTGCTATACCATGCTATACCCACATGACAACACCAGAGAGGTTGGTCCCAATCAACTTGACACATTTGCCAAATACTGGTGTATGATATGTGTATGATGTGTATGATGTGTATGGGTGTGGAAAGGGTACCCCACATTTGATGGTTGATGAGTTTCTGTAAAGGTGCCATTTTGGGTTGTCCCCCAATTTTCAGACCCCATGTAGGCAGCCCCAGCCGAAGTCTATTGCCCGAGGTTCTGCCGCGAAAGGCGAGAAACTTGCCTCAAGGCATATCTCAAGGTGGTCCCAGAAAGCTGATGGGTCTTCAAACACATACCTCGCCTTTGGAATAGCAAAAACACAACTATCACTTCTCATCCAAAAATGGCATTGAAATGCCGATTCCCATTCTGCCGAGAATCTCTTGGAGCCTTTGAACTTCAGCCTCCATGCGAACCAGCTCACTGTTGGCCTCCGATACGGGCCGTGTCGGTATCTTGGAGATGGCGATCCACGTATCCCCTAGATATATATATATATTTCATTTCAACACCTATTCAGCCCGCAAAATTTGGGGTATGCACGTGTGAGCCATAGGCTCAAAATGGAAGTCTGGCGGATCCATGTTCCAAGTACAAGAACCTTCCAGCCATTTCCATACCACATTTGCTGAGAAATCTCCCCAGACAAACTGTACTCTTGGTCTGCTGTTCTTTGAAGGAGAATAAGTATCCTTGTGCCCAAAGAAACTGTCTAACAGATTCTGACAGTTGGGATGACGTTTGCTTTTTGATCTCCCTGCTCGGGCAGCAATTGCCTAGTGGTTTTTGTTTCGATTAGCCTTTTACAAAACTACATGTCATGTCCCAACAAGAAAGGAAATGGACTACATAGCTAGTTGCACATGCAACCATGATATTGACCCCCAAATCTTCCATTTATAGATGGAGTTTCCACTATATAAACCATCCATTTTGGGGGATCCCCCATTGATGTAAACCCCTATCTACCCCCATAGGGACTGGATCCTCCATGGCAGCTACTCAGTTCTGAGGCACCCGATCGGACATCTCTTTGAACTCCTGCGTGGAATATGTGGACATGGGGCGAAAAACGGGAGCCAAAGACAACAAAAGGCTCACCTGCGGATGGATAGATCAACTCTCTAGCTCTTGAACACGACCAAATGAGACCAGTGTCCACATTAATTTAATAGCATTCGGTGCGAGTTTGTGCTAGGTCCTAGATATCAGAAGGGCACCAATATCCCACCAGTTGCATCATCACTTGGTGCTGTTTTTGCTGCTTGAAATGGTCTGCGAAATATGATCCTCATTCAAGTCGTGTCTATAGTGCGATTCGACTATCTCCATGAACCATCAACCCCACCAATCTACTAACATATCTTAGGTGGTCTTAGGTAGTTTCATGTCAACTATCAAATCCACCCTATCTGTAGGTAAACCACTCATCACAGTCTTTATCAGAGACGTATCATTAACCACCACCTTGAATATCTGGAATCCCCAACCTACTGGGGAAACCACCACCTCACGACTAGCCCCAACAACAAGATGGACACTGGAAACCACCGACCCCAGATAGGCCATGGAGTTACTGAACTGGTCCTGGGTTATCCCCTTCTGATCCGTACAATTGCACAATTGCTGTGTACTGGCTTACAACCCAACTTAATAACATTTAATAACCATAAGGATTTCTTTGAAAAGTTCTAGGAAAGTCCCATGTCATTGGCACATTTCATCGAATTTCGCATTTCATCAGAATTTCCAAATGAAAATGGCCATCAAATTGCTTGAAATTGCCATAAAATTGCCATAACATGGTCAGAAATTGGGGGAAGGTCCCCCCATTTTTTTCCGCTGCGGTGCCTGACCGCCCGGCGCCGCGGTGCCCGGGCGCGACGAAGGCCCCAGCAGCGGTGGAGAGGCGGAGCGCGCGGCACGGGGCCTTGGAGATCTAACTTGGGCAACTTGGGGTTGGGGTTATGGTTACAATTGGAATATCTTGGAATATGGTTAAGAGGGTTATATATTGATTATAATACTGGTTATAATACTGGTTATATAATACTGGTTATATAATACTGGTTATAAGGGTTAGAAATGGTTAGAAACGGTTAGAATGGTTATAATTATAATATGGTTACAAATGGTTAGAATGGTTGTGAAGGCTATAATGGTTGAGCATACTGTTTTGGGTTCAAACTAATCATACAATTTCAATTATCTCAATATAGATACTTGGTTGGTTGTATTTTGGTTGGGGATTCTCAAATAATTGATTGGATATGTTTTTTTTAATGATGTCTGAACATATTTGAATGTATTTTCTTGACCCAACCAACCAGGTAGTATAGCCTTTCTTTCGCCCACTAGAAGAACCAATGATTCAACAGGGGTATCTTGAAGGGCTCAGTCAGGCTCAGCCTTCTGCCAAAATGTATCCATTGACTACCAGTATCATCCAGTATCTATAGCTAGTGATCATGCCCAATGCCTGCCAAACACCACGCGTGTTAATCTACAGTATTATATACATTACAATCAAATCATTCAGTATGGCACACAATATCTATGCACCTCGTCTTGCCCGCGCCTGTTGGCCCGCCTTCTTCGTATGAGCTGAAAACGTGGTAAAAATTGGATATTTTAGCACTATGGTTAACTTGATGTTCTAGATCAGAACGTACAGCACAGGGACATGTGCGGGTTCGTTCCACATCGTCATCGTCATCGTCATCATCATCATCATCATCAACAATGAAGATCTGCAATGTATATAGAAGTTTACCGGGGGTGGGAGAATTAAGCCCTTATTAAACCCTTATTGAAGATCTTCAATTAATGTAGAAGTTCAATGGGGGTGGGAGAACTAAGCGCGTATTGAAGATCTTCAATGAGTGTAGAAGTTCAATGGGGGTGGGAGAACTAAGCGCGTATTGAAGATCTTCAATGAGTGTAGAAGTTCAATGGGGGTGGGAGAATGAAACCCTTATTGAAGATCTTCAATGAATGTAAAGTTTAGCTGGGGTGGGAGAATGAAACCCTTATTGAAGATCTTCAATGAATGTAGAAGTTCAATGGGGGTGGGAGAATAAAACCCTTATTGAAGATCTTCAATAAATGTAAAGTTTAACGGGGGTGGGACTTTTATATTCCCTAATACCTTTGTTGATCTTCCCAAGACAAGAAGGGTGTGGGCGAAACGGGGTGTTTGCACGTAACACTACCTAACTAGATTAACAATGTATCCATACAATTCCATACATGTAGATACACGCGGTGTTTTCCCGATATTCTCCCGACTTCCCCCGGTTCCTGATCTGCAAATGAGCGACTTGGCCTTTGCTGACGATGCCGAGAGATTGCTCCTTGTGGATGATCTACCCGAAGAGGATGCCAAAGACGGTGCCTCTTTGGAGATCAAGGCTGTCAAGGCTGTCAGAATGACGATGATAAAACAAAAGGACACAGTGAACTGAACCCACAGATAAAAACTCGGTATCAACAATGGGATTCAACAACTTTACTCTGGCATTCACGTGATCTGGTTGCCCCCACACGATCCAAAAACATCAAAAAAACCCAACGCATTTCCTGCCCCGGCAGCCCGCACCGTGCAGGGAGTGCCATTGGCCGTGGTGGCAACACTGGCCAACACATCCTCTGGCTTTTGCAGCTGCTCCACCACTCCTGCGTGGTGCATGGTCTTGATACGTCTTGATGGCCTCCAACTGATGGGTTCAAAATGGTTTCAACAACCGCTGATGCGATGAGGGCAGAGTCCTTCCAAGAACAAATTCAAAATATCCATCACACGCAGATTGGAGATACCTGACACAACGGCTCCAAAGGGAGTGACAAGTGAGAATTTTATCGCAAAGTTGTCCAGTGAAGCATATAGTCAAAATAGTCAGGCACCGAAAGTTCCACATCAGCAGTGCATGTTGATACAAGCAAAACCACCATTGGGATTTTGACATTTGACAGTGCACAGTCAAATGCCAAGCTTTTTGTTGATACACGTGTTGCAAATGTCTACTACTTAGCAACTGAATAACTAGCTGGGCATTTACAAGCCAACGAAACCACTATCAAAACGGTGCCGAGTGCAGACGCATCAAACCTCAGTCCAAGTCCCAGCCTTTAGGCAGGAGGGGTCCCTTCAAACATCTGCGGGGATCCACTCCAGGAATTACAGACAACTCCGCCAAAGAACTCTCCAAGCGGATTGCTCCCTGACGGGCAAACGGAAGATTTGGAAGTCCCCAACCGAGGTACGCTGAAGGATGTCTCACCCGCAACATGCGAATAAATGCAACTTTTTAAGCCTGGATGAATCAGGTACTTCGACAAGCGATGACAACCCCTTCTTTGACCTGCCTATTTATCTACGGTAACTACATTTAAATATACGGACTTTTAAATATACGAACAGGTACTGTGGACTACAGTACCTCCGGGAAGGTTTTCCTTGGCCCGCCCGGCCATTTAAACATACGGAATCCAATTCATTTAAACATACCGTAACATACGTAACTACATTTAAATATACGACCTGGTATTTCATACTACCTCCGGGGCCTCGCGGCCCGCCCTCCACATATATCTAGTCAATCTCTAGTCCTGCCAGCACCTGTACGGTGAAATCAGTGGAACCCAGGGTGACCCCGTCCAGCCGCCATCCACCACAACCCTGTCCTGCATTGCAGCCACACTGCCTGCATCTTTTGGGGGCAACTTCTGCCGAATCTGGGGAAGTAGCACATATGGGAATGGGTCAAAACACTCTCTTTTCTCTCTTTTGCCAGAAGCTCCTGCTCAGAAGTCGGAGTCAGGTGCTCGACTCGTGACACACAAAACGAATTCAAACTCCGCACGGTGGTAACATCCCGAGGTCCTTCTCAATCTGTCTGGCCGGCATCGAAGTAGCATGGGTTTTGAAAAAATCGTCCAATCCTTGCAGTCTGGGTGTCGTCATCCTGACCCTGACGGTCCCGCGCCAGAAAGCCAAAACATGAGAATTAGGTCGTCGTTGTTGGATCTCCAAAGGATTATCTGCAGTTTTGGCCAGCCCCTGTAGATATCTAGACATCCACTGCACATAGTTCTTATAGGAATACTGCTTACCAGCTACTGGTTCAATCCATTTTGCTCCCGAGCTTGCAGGTCCCCACAAGCCAGAATGTCGTTGGAAATCAACAAGTAATTGGTGGAACGTGATCCAAAGCACATTTCCTTCCTGAGTAAGTGTGGGCAACCATGTCAAGATATGAGGCAAAACTTTGATGTGGAACTTTTTGGGTATGTCATCTACCTGTAAACCTGTCAAGTGCATGATACCTTTATCAACTGTTGTGTCTGTTGTTGTTTGAATACCAACAGGGACTGTGGGTTCACTAGGGGCACACGGAGTGGCAAGTGCTCTGAGACTGATGGCGACCATCATAGTGTGCAAAGCTTTTCCATACGCTCTAAGCTGCTGCGTTTCATGGATAACTCGTTCAGTGGCCCTCAAAAGCGCAGGTGGCAGTGTCAACCTCGCTGCGTTTGCTGCTGCATCTGCTGCTGTATTTCCTTTCACTGCCCACTCATCGATGGGTGTCAACTGGTCAGATGCAATAGCATGTGCTCGAATTTTGAGCACATCAAGCACATAACCTGAGGCATGTTTAAACTGGTCGCGGAGCAACATCCACAAATCTGCATCTCGTTTTGTTTCCAGGGTCAGGCTTGAGCCATGAAGCAAGGCAGAAAGTGTGTTGTATACCTGTTGGTTATCTATCCATAGGCGACCTGGCTTGTCCTGTCGGCTGAGATATTTAAGGGCAGAAATGGCTGCGGTGATCTCTGCTCTGAGACTGGTTTGTCTCCATCCTGGCACTCCCCCGCACGAGATACATTGGAAATCATGCCCAGTCCATAAGACAGCTCCCCAGGTGGCTAACCTAGTGAAAGGATCATGTGGCCTACTGCAACTACCATCAATGAAAACATCTAAGGCTGCAAGTTCTGGCATGACGTCTATGGGCTGGCAAAACATGGCTGTGCAATCAGGTTGTTGGACGAGTTCTCGACGAAATTCAGTGAGGTGTTGTGCACAGGGCACCCATCCATGGCATTCCGTGGCAGGGGCAACATCAGGTTGTTCCATGACAACAGGATAGTTTGCTCGAATGTCTTCAAAAAACTTGCAAGACATGTATCTATGTTGGAGACTGTCAGGTTCCCCACAGAATTTGCACGCAGCGCTTTCAATTTTACCTGCATAATGCAGTGCATCTTGTGTGTACTGTGTGCCATTCAGTGCGCAACGAAGCAAGCCTTGATGTTCCGCAGGCTGCTGAAGGAACAATTCTTTGGTGAGCTTTGCATCCATCTGAAAAAGCCCCCCCATAGTACTTCTTTCATGTGCAACTTGTGTCATCACCCGTTGCTGCCAGGCAATCATGATCCTTTCGGTCAGCTCAGCCTTTGAACACCTCATAAGAAAAACCGGAATTCCATCTTGGTCAACGCACTTATCTCCATGCTCCCAATGCCAAGCTAGCTTATGAATAGCCTGGAGAAAACTTTTGCTTGGACCCGGTGTTGTTGCCCCAGAAGTGAGTACATGGTCCAGAGTCTGGAAGGCTAGGTCGGGCGTGGCATATTCTCTATACGTCATGATGGTGGCATGGACGCAAAAAAGCTCTGGGTCACAAAGGGGGTTACATATGCAAGATAGCTGCAACGTAGGAGTGGATCCCATCTGGTGCAGGTTCAACGCTTTGGTGGCTAGGGTGCGTAGCTTCAGGAAATGATTATTCCCTAGAGAGACTGTTGCTATGCCATAGAACAAGTTTGGCCATGCTGAAACATACAATGCGCGCTCTTTTTGTGTAACCGGGGCACACGAACGAGCAAGTCTCGACCAAAATTGAGTAAGGTCAGCAATTTTTTCCTGGACCGTTGCGTTGGAGCAAATCTTGGTGTAATTCATGTGGCCACCAAGATCTCTTGCATAGTATTTTTTGTTGAGGCCTGCAAGCTGGATTTCTTTACGGCCTGTTGCAGTGTTACACCAGAGGTAACTCTTGGAGGTGTCAATCTGCAGGTCCAACAGCTGGCTAAATTCCAGAAGGCCTTCAAAAGCTGCAATGGCTTGGAACGCCGATCTAGTGAGGATCTCGATGTTATCCACAAAACTCCATGTTTGAACTTTAGGAAACCTGTGATACATCCAAACTTCAAGTCCTAGGTTACAAATAACCATGGCCACTACGCTTAGGGCACATCCTTCTGGATATCCTGTGGAGGAATAGATTGGGCTACCCATGGCTCCTCTCACCTGGAACCTACGGGCCATTTGCTTAAGGGCTTGGGTCCATGGCCCGACGACAATCCATGGGATTCCCACATGTGTCGCAAGGTCTTGCAACACCTTCCTTGGCAAAGTGTTGAAGCATTTGACCAGGTCGATAATGGTTCCTGCCAGTTCTGTTGACGTGCCATAGGCATGTTCCAAACACTGTTGGATATGGAACCAAATCTTCTTTGGGGATCTCCCAGGTATGTTACCAATTAAGGTGGTCGGGACTAGGGTCTGGAGATATTGGAGGCATTGGCGACCTCTCAGTGATGACCAAGTTCGGTAAAACGCTGGAAAAATGCAGATGGGTCTGAACTGTGTTACTTCCTCGGCTAATGGGGTTTTTGCCAGTGCAGCTACAGCTCCTGTAACGGCTTGTGTGGGCCAGGGGGCCCCAAGTTCAATGGCACGGATCAGCAAAAGAAGTTGGGACAAAATGGAATCTGGGAGGTTAGCAAGGTCCTGTTTGGTGACACCATCAGGGCCAACTGCAGCTCCTTTTTTCTTTTTGTTAACTGCTTTTCGCCAGGCTTCAGGAGTTATGGGAGGGAAATCTACCTGCCTAGCGGGGAGAGCGGTCTTAAAGAAATTAATTGCTGGATCCCATTTTGAATGGTCAACCTCGTCATGCTTTTGCCACCTAGGAGCCCATTCTGCTTCGAAGGCATTCATGATGGGTGGGATATCGCCAACAATCTCACGCACTTGGATTTCATCTGTCAGCTGCTGAGCTGATTCGAATGGCATAGTGAATTCCGCTGGGCCCTGGTGGGCAATTTGGACTGGGATTTGGTTTACAGAAATTGTTTGTAACCCCTCCGGCAGGGGACGAGAAAGTGAAATATGTTGGTTTTCTCCATTGACATGAGTACTTCTGATAGGGATGGTGGTGGTTTTAACAATTGTTTGAACGGGTTCAGCACGATCTTTCTGCAAGTCTTTGTAGATGAGTAAAGGGTCTTTTGACCTCCTTTGCTTGGCATACTCATGTCTAGCTTTCGTGAGGCTGCTCTCCAGGTATCTGTAGTGCCTGGAAAATTCCAGGAAAATCTGGTTGGCAACTGCTGCATTCGGTGGGTTCATGGGAATATGCTGCGGAGATTCGGGCAATACTTTGGTCAGTTGGTCCCACCAGGTGGTGAAACCGCTTTGAAAACCTGTGGCATTTCTGATTTTTCGCCAAAGGTTGGCTTTGTGCTCATCGATGGTGACCGTCATTGCTTCGCTTTGGGCTGCTCTGGCATAGTGCTGTAGCCTTCTGACCTGCTTGGTCCACCTGCTGTGTGTCATGTTGCTACATGCCAATTCTGATTGTATGTCTCCTTTTCTGTTTGGTTTGACTGGTGCTGGTTGTTGGTCTGTCCAAACAACTTCTTTTGTGGCTGCCCTGCCTTTGCTGTGTTCCTGCAGTTTGGGAAGGGACAAGGCGGCATGGATGTGATCCGCATAACGCTCAGCATCTTCCCAAATCTCTTGGTACCATTGGTCCATGTCTTGTGAGGGAATTACTTGGCACTCCCATTCGGGCAGGTCGTTGGGTTTTTTGGGCCATTGGATTGGCTTTGGCTTTCTCCACATTGGTACCTTTGGTGGTCTATCAAACTCGCTTAGAAAAACCATAATGACTGCATGGTCAGCAAAAGTGGTCCAATCAATTTGGATGTCCTCCACATAGGGTATCATCTCTGGACTCAAGTAGAGGAAATCTTTGATGGTGGTACGTTTGCAAGTGCAGCTGAATGGTCTATTCCATTTGCGAAGTGCAAGTTGCTGGGCTTCTACCCAGCCTTTGGACTCCCAGTAGTCGGCTTGAGGTATGCAAGACCTTTCAAGATTCCAATCGCCTGATACCATTCTCAAGCCCTGAGCACCATCTACAATTCGAGCGGTTAAACCAGCGAGAAGCCGATCTGTATGTTGTTGAACTTCGATGGTGTGTGATCCTTCATTATGGCCATACACTGTGCCCATTGTAACCCATCTTCGGTCGACGTATGCAGCAGTGGCTAGACATCTGCCTGTTGAGAAATCATCTGGCGTCCACATGTGTGCTAGACTACGCAAGGGGTGGTGACTTACAAAGGCTACTCCAGTTTGCTTGCCTCCCAACGTACGGATTGATTGATTCTTTGGTGGGGCCGGGGCCCCATGTGTCATGTGAAAATTGGTTTTCTGCCAGGCCATTTCTTTGCGAAAGCGGCTAATCCCCTGAGTTGTCAAATGAGTTTCCTGGACCGCAAAGGTCGCACTGGTCTTGCCCAGTGACGCAAGATCTGCACTCTTCCCCATCAAACCCGTGGGGTTCGCGTTGGCAAAAAGATGAGGGCCTGGGACAGCGGCTTCCCCAAGCCGTACTGATATGGCAAAGAACATGAAGATACAGCAAAAGATTTTGTAGAAACGTGTAACCACTGGATCTTCGCCGGTGGATATGAACATGCAGACAAACCTGGCTTAAGCTTCACTTCCGGTCGGATGTGCATGCGGGCAGGTTTGTAATTATGTGTTGCTGGTGGCCCTAGTCATTCATGTCTGACTCTCTTCGAAAAGAGAGCTTCTATGCGATCCATTTGCTCTGCCATCTTCTGCTCCAGTGTCTGTGCAATGTGGTGCCCTTGTTGTTCGAGCTGTGATTGCATCGTGCCAACTTGTTGTTCGAGACCATGCTGAGACATCTGGACCTTGGAAAGAGACTGATCAACATGCACTACCTTTTGTTCGATAGCTGACTGGTTGCTTCTGACCATGTTGAGCTGGCTTTCCAACTGAGTCACTCTGGCTTCAATTGCGGTTGGCTCCATGGCCACATCTTGGTCGGAGGAGGCGATTTTTGGACCAATGTTGGCCATGAGCTTCTTTTCCAGGTTGGCTTCCATGGTTGCCAGTGCGGCCGGATGCAGGTTGGCATATTGGCTTTGCGCAGGCTGGGCAGGTTTTGCTTTGGACTTTTGCTGAGGCTTCCAAGGGTCATTGGTGAGCCAAGGATCTTGATCGGCATTGTTGTGAAGATGTTGGATGGTCTTGCGTGATGCAACTATGGAGTACGTTGGGTTGGCATCAACGGGTCTTTCCTCCTGAAGCTTGCTGACCAGGACATCTCCATGCTGCAAGACGTATATCCAGTGACTTGGATCAGCTGTCGCCTGGATTGTCCAGGTCACCCCGCTGCCATCCTGACTTCGTCCTCTAGGTTGGAGAGGCCTTGCTTCCCAGCCCCATGCTTTCAATAGCTTGGTGACTGCATCCTTGGTTGTGGAGTAGGGTAGTGGCCCTAATGCATACAGCTTCTTGGTGGCACCCAGCAGCAGGGGTGTGTCTGGTCGATGTTTGGCATGAATCTCTTGAGCATTGAGTGTGTCTGACCTCAGTCCATATCGATTGGCATGCCTAACCAGGGATGTTGCTTGGGGCGATGTCTGTTGTGCATATTTGGCTTCCTGGTAAGTGGCGTTCGGAATCCAAGTCACATGGTGGGCGCTGCTTGGAAATCCCCCGCATGCTGATCTGGGTTCATAATAGACCCCATTGGTTCCACTCTTGACAATCAACTCTTCGGCTTTTCCTGCGAGCATTCTGAAAGAGAAGGCAAAGATTTCAGCTGTCTTGTTCTTTGTTTTCTCAAAACGCTTGGTGACCCATTGGCGGTCCCATACATCAATGACCTGAGGAACACCTTGATCTTTTTGTTGCAAGAGAGGCTCGGCTGCAAAGACTGACCTAACTGGGTGATTCTGCATTTCATCCCATAGATTGGATTGGTCCTGAAAGACCAGGCAACGGATTGCTTCTGTTTGACGTTCGTCCACTGCCAACTTCACTGAAGGTTCAAATCTTTGCACTTCTTGCACTCCAAGCTGGTAAAGGTACCCGGCTGCAATCAATGGTTCCTGGGTGGTGACGCATAAGGCTGGGAACCTGATGGGATCCGCTTCATGAACATTGGCATTTTCCTTGGTGGCCAGGACTAGGACGGCGAGTCCTTTCTGGGTGACTGGGGTTGGCAATTTCAGGGCTGCATGTGAGTCTTCTTCGTCAACAAGAACTACACCTTCTGCATGTGGGCCTACCTGATCAGCACGAAGTGGTCCAAGTATGGTTCCATCATGTTGCTTGAACACTCCTTCCGGAACTTGCAGTTCTGCGGCGGTGAGCATGAGAGCTTCTTTGGAATGTTCATATGGCCTGTGGCTAGTTTTGGCTGGTTTTCTTCCAAACTGAGTGCGATGCCTGCTTCTGGCTCTGATCTGAGCCTCAAGTTCATCTTGCATGATCAGCTTCATGGGTGGCTTCATCTGGTTGGCAGCCTGTTTGAGGTCTGGCCAAGGCTTTCGGGACGTAAGAATGCTGGACAAATTGCCTGGTGTCATGCGTTCAGCAATCTTGGTTGCTCTATCAAAGGATCGATCATGAAAAACTCCATGTTCCTCCAAGAGCTTGCTGAGGTCTTGGATCATTTCATCATCTTGCTTCATTCCGCCAAGGTGTATGTGGTGGATGATGTCAACATGGTGTCGAGTGTGGAGCAGGTGTTCAGCAAAGAGGTACCTCCACTGCTCAGCTTTCATGGCACTCATTGGAACTGCAGGGCATCCAAGGAGATTGGCCAAAAGCCATGCCAACGTTTGGAAACCGCAATCGGCTGCAAATTCTTGAGGCAAAACCTTTTGTTTGACTTCGAGAGTCAAATGCAGGTCATTGGTGATCTCTTGGGCAGCTCGCAGGAAGCAAGTTCCTTCTGGTGTGGTTTCAATTGTCACCACACTGGCCCGCCTTGTGAGAATGATTGGAATCCAATGACCCTGGACAATTGCTGCTGATACAACGGGCAAATCTGCGGCGGCAAGGTACATTCGGTGGAGCCAAACTCCAGCCTCTTCATTGGCGGCTGCTTCATCATGGTAAACCTCAGGCATAAACGGGTGTGCAATCTCTTGACCTACGGATGTCTGAAGGTAAAACCACATTTCATCCTGAGCCACCCAGGCTAGCTGCTTCCACAGGATGTGGATTCTGCATGTCCCGAGGGGAATGTCTGGCCTGGAAATTTGTCCTGCAAGGACCGGGCATCGGTGATCCTGAGGAAACTGCTGCAAGTAAACAACCTGCTTGTCCACAACCGGTTCATACAGTGGAATCGGCGTACCTACCCAGGTCCTAGGAAAGATTGGTTGTACCATGGAACCTAGGTTGGCTTCTGCTTGTGTCAACTGACCTGGTGTGGTGCCTGGGGTTGCATGAATCTCAGTCGGCTCGAGCTTGTTGTTTGTGATGATCCAAACTTGGATCTTGTCCTGTGGCGCAGTGCCACTGTTGATTAGCTGTCTGGCTTTCGGTGATTGTGTTTCAGGTGATGTTTGTGGCTCACTTGTCATCTTCTGGTCATCTCCTTTGTCTTGGCCGGCTTCATTGGCAGTGAGATCTTTCATGTTGGGCTGCTCATGTGGTATGTCAGCGTCATGGTTTTCATGTTGTTGTTGCATGGATGTGTTAACAGGTCCTGACGGCTGTGCAGGATCAGGCGGCTTGGTGTGTTGTCGGTCTGCATGAACTTCGGGCATCATCTTCCTCTTCTTTTTGGTTTCAAAGCCCGGTACACCTCCGTTGGTAGGAGGGGCTTCTATGGCGATGCTTTGCTTGGCCTCTCTGAGAGCTGTGGCAATGGCCAATGTTTCTTGACTTGCTGTCTGAATGGCTGCTCTTTCGCAGGGCAGCATTTCAGCTGTGGGCTGATGTGCCGTTTGCTCATATTCTTTTCCATTGTTGGCTGCACCCTGAGGTGGATGTGTCTCACTCATCCTAGAAATGGTCTGGTCACCGTGGAGAAAAGCCTCCTGGAGATGTTTGTCACCACTGGCAGGCTGCTTCCGCTTGTTACAGGTTGAATGTGGCTTGTCACCTCTGGGGATTGCTGTGTCACCAGGACATGTGCTGGTGGGCTCATGAAGCATGGTCTCAACTTCGTTGTTGAGGCATTCATGGATGTCTCGCAGCATGGAGTAAGGACATGTGTTGCATGTCGGGTTACATTGGCTCAGACTGCATGGTGCTGAGTTCATTGTCACTGATTGCTCATTCAGTTTCACGTCCATTGTTCTGGAAACTGTATCTTGGTTTTGGATAGCTGGATTGGGTTTGAAACTGTTGTCAGTAGCGGTGGTCGCTGGGATTGGCTGTGGGTCTTGTTCTGTTTCTCCTTTCTGACCATGCTGATATCTAATGGGATCATTTCCTGGTGACGGCACAGTCAAGGGCACAGGAATGAATGCATCTTTTTGGTCATGATACTTTTGGCTGGTGAGTCTTTGAGTTTAGGATTCCTCTTTAAGTAGTGGGAAATTGCCTTGTTGATGGTTCATGTTTTCATCAGGCGTGTCAGTCAGGAAATGGTTTCCACTCTTTTCGGGTGTTGGGATTGCTTCGACTGTTCTGGCTGGTTGGGCAAGATTTGGTCGATCTGCTCCTACCCCGGCCTCGGATGCTGGTTTGGGAGGTTCATGGTTGGCCAGTTGCTCAGGCAAGTGCCCCTCCCCGGATGTTGCAGCAAGACCCAGTTCCTGTACACGGCCAATGCTGGATACGGGTGAATTGGTTCTGTACATGTCGGCTGCTTGCACGGCTGTCGGATGAGATCCTGGCTGGATCAGTGGCTCTGATATGGCAACTGCATCGGCATGATGGCTTGTGTGATGGGCATGACATGTCGGATGTGTGATCAATTGTCCGGCCTCGGATGCTTTGCAAGCTGGTGCATGTCTCTGTACAGGTGAGCAGGTCAAGTGATGGCTACTACTGTACAAGTTGGCTTCGGTCTGCGCCATTTTTGGATTTCCTACCCCAGCCTCGGATGCATGTGAATGTGTGGGAAAAACATGAACTGTCGGCTGCGCGGGCACGGCTCCTGCCTCGGATGCACTTTGGTCGCCAAAAGGAATCTGTACACTGTGATCAGATCCTGCCTCATGTGGGAGTCGTGTGGGCATGTACATGTTCGAAATTGTCCCCGCCTCGGCAACTTTAACACTTGGACGTGACTCATGTGATGCCTGTGCAGTGTTCGGATCAGTGTTCCACCCCACCTCGGATGATGTTTGGATGTTCTGAGATCCATCGGGAGGTTTCGGATCAGCCGTTGACGCCACAGTGGACGGAAGGCATTTTGGTTTTCGGCTGGTGGGAAAAAGGCCAGCCCCAGGAATTGCCCCTTTCTCAAGCTTCAAATCACGATGAAACCCTCCTGCCTCGGATGCCTGGTGCCTTGAGTGCTGATGGTTCTGAGCAACCTGTGTTGGCTTTGGCCTCATCAAATTAAGGTCTTTTGAGAACTCAGGAATCGAACTTGGGACATGAGAAACACTTCCTACCCCTGCCTCGGCTGACTTCTGTACATGGTGAACTGACCCTGCCTCGAATGACGTGTGGCTAGATCTGTACATGTTTGACAGCAACCCGGCCTCGGATGCATGCATGGCAGATATCCCCTGGCTGGGGTTGGCTTGATCATTTTTGTCAGCTGGTCTCTCATGCAGCGGCAGTTCTGAATTGGATTGATTGGGAAGGTTAGGCATCTGCGATCCTATCCCCGCCTCGGATGCTTGATCAGGCTTGCAACTTTGTTCAGACGCATGAACACTGGGCTGATGAATTTCTTGAGGTCTGAGTGGCTGCTGTGGCTTCTGACTTCCCCAAAAGTAGGGTTCGCTTCCACCTGGGCATTGGCTGCAGGAACGGATGGCACAACCCCTACGCTGGATGGATACCTGTGAAGGATTTTTGGGATATCATCTGTTGAAACCTGCGACATTCCACACTGTTTGGTTCTCCAAAAGTTTCATCCCTAGCTTTGAGCAGGTTGGCCATCATGTTCAACAAAACTCGTTCAGGTTGGCAAGATTCTTCAACTTCAAGAAAAGTTTGGATATGTTTCATGACTGCTGCTCCAATCCATGCACTTTGAAGAGGTGAAGCTAACTGTCCGAGGGCACAAAGGGCCATCCGGCTTTGTGGTCCCCAATCACATCCAGGATACATGCCATTGAGTAATGCCAACTCGTCAGGAGAAATATGTCGAAAATTTGGGTAAATGTTGTTGCCACATCTTGACTCACCCAAAAGTGGAATAAGAAGGCCATGAAGTCCACCTGATTGCAATCGCTGTTCAGTGAATGGGTATTTACGGCAACCACACGGGCAACCCATCAGCTGGTTTCCACAAGAATGTAATGAGGTGGCCATTTGGCCTCGCCACTGCACCATGTTGTTTTCAAAACCAAACGCAGCAAATTTCCCCAATTCGTACAAATCCAATTGCAGTTGTTCAAGAAGGGCCTGATTACAATGTTGAAATTGTTCCAACACACTCGAAACCATGGGCGTTGGTGTCATGACTGGGAGCGACTGCCAGGGTATTTTACCTAAGGCAGGATGGCTGAGGAGACACCACCATCTGCTTCTGCGAGCTGGCCAAATCTGTTGTAGGTTCAGGATTCCTTGGCTAATATGGTAGCCAGTCTCTTTGGAAAACTGCCGTAACATCTGCTGCACCCATTGGCAGGAGAGTGCCTCAGGCACACATTCAAGGATTGTCACCCCGTACTGTCCTAAAAATGTGAGTCTCAGTGTAGCAGGGAGAGTCTGAGCCCTGGGGTCATGTTGTCCCCTTTTGTCCCCCAATCGGGAGTAGGGTTGACAGCTGATTCCTGCAGCCAAGGTTTTGGTTTCCGGGTACCTGGAACTGAGATCTTTCAACAACTGATCATCTGTGACATCACCCAGCAAAGTATCCGAGTTATGTAGCCTTGCTGCCATGTCCAACATGGATTGATTCCAGTCACTGCGGACTTTGACTTGGAACCCTGATTCTTCCAGACCTACCCCCAAACAGCCTATTCCCGAACATACTTCAGCTACAAAACGAAGGTCTCTTGCTGCTATGCACGGCTTGGCATGACAACTGGTGGTGTCAGTCTCTTGTAGTGTGCCCTTGTCAGGCACTGATGCATGAATGATCAAAACTACTGATGTTTCTGCAGGCAAAATGCCTTTGTATCTCATGAATTTCCCTTTGAGAGAAGATTTCACAAGGTGACACTGTTGGTTTTCATCGTAGATCACAATCTGAAACAATCCAGTGTGTAACACACCCGGAACAGGGTCATCTTCGAGATGCAACTCCAACATGGCTGAACAAACACCCGAGGGTTAGCTGAAGTCAGTGTCACTTGCTGGAAAGGCTCGGGCCTCAACACTGGGCCAAAACACTGGTACTCGGGTGGACATTCCAAAAACTGCCGAAAATGAACAGAATGGTCTGGGATGTCAATATGGTTAACCCAATTTCGGTGTAGTTGTGTAGTTGGTATTCACCCATACCCTGTGGGTGAGAATCCCATGTGCAATCCTCACCAATTGTGACCCACTCTAAGAGCAAGGCCTTGCGAAATTTTGTGAAGAGGTTGGGAACTACCATCAATTCATGCCACAGGTTTATTGAACCCTGATTGTTCAAGTGGGGTCAACCACAACGAAAATCAATGAAACTCCAACATGTTTGGGCGTCTTCCCTTCAGAAACTGGCAATGGTAAACAATCATTTGAACATATTTGAACCATTTTGAACCATCTGAGGGCATGCTCGGTGTGTGATCTCGTGCGAAACATGCTTGTTGAAACTCATTCTCAGGTGTCGATGCCGATTTCCCGCATCTCCAGTTTTTTCCGTCCGACTTTTCCTGAGCGCCAACGGCAAACTGCAAATTCTACCACTCGACCCACTTTGCCTTGTTCCATTGCACAGGAGCAACGGCCTTGCCAGCTGGGGTGTGATCCCACAGCGACTTGTCGCTCGAGGCTCATCAAGCTACCATGTTTCCAAAAGTCTTAGTGAAATCTGTGCGTTGTACAGCAAAAAATCACAGCGTCCCAGCCGATTCCAGGCCTGAAATCCCCGCCAGGTCGGAGCTTGAACCCAAAGAACAGCGAGTCAGGATAAACCGATGATCCGATGATGTCGTCGAGCTATGTCCAGCTATTTAAGTGCGTTTGCAGTACTCTAGTGAAAGAGATCAGGAATTATACATAAATATAAACGTATGTAAACGTATCATCATTTAGAACGTGTTTTAACAGCTGTCGAAGATACAGTTTGAATGACTTTCAACGTTCATGATTCGTGGTAAGAGCCGATAAATGATGATATACAATGGTATACATCTCTTAAGACTCCTTTGTGCTTTCTCTGCAGCCAGTGAAGCCATGTGCGGACGACTTAGACAATCTTAGACATACTTTTTGAACTTGTGAAAACCCTAGCATGGGTGTGTCTGAAAATGGGGCATACCGTATGCCCATCAAAATGGTTAGGACAAATACAGAAAAATGATGATCCACCAGGTTTCGGAGTACCACATTTTCAGGCAAACCCTATGATTCCATTGAGTGTTCAGTCGATGAATTGATTGCCCTACAATCTTGGAGTTTCCATGCATGCTTCCCCTCAAAATTGGATCTTTTTACGGGTCGATGAGAACGCAAACATTCAGTTCTCCAAACACTTTCAAAGGTAATTTCGAACATGCACTGCAGGTCATTACAAACCAACCTGTGTGTTACGTTGCTATCCCCGGAACTTTTCCCGCAGCTGTCGCGCATCATCGCGGCACTGACGGATGCCTGGGAACCAGTTGGAAATCCGTGAAGCCTCGCTCTTATCCGAAAAGCACTATTGGTTAGATATGGTTGGATAAATTCTCGATCGGACTGGTCAACAGTTTGCGCGCGTTTCCTTTCCAAAGCTTTGCAGCTTCGTGGCTAGTTGGTAGGTTTGCCTCGCAACCAGCACCTCTGGGACACAAGCCATCGGAAACTTCTGACCAACGTGGGGTCGGTCAACATGTAGAAATCCCCCCATTCTAAGATGATTTCCCATTAACATCTCCATTTTGATTGGGGATTTCCAATGATTTCCCAGCCATGTTTGATTCCTGGGTTGAGAACTTCCCTTAGAGGTACCCAAATAAGTGCTAATGCTTATTGCATCTGCACTCATCCTCCCTGGAAGCATCCTGTCTTGCTTAGCCCGTCTGCCTTCGCCAAGGACTAAGCTCGACCACGACCTGGGGAGTGGTTTGCACGACCTTTGCACTTTAGGGTTGCTGGTTCGATTGATGATTCACAACGGCCTTGTCCAACCAAATACATCCAATTTATTTCAACAGCAGACTGTGAACAACACTGCAATAGTCTTCACAACTCCCTGAACTTAATACTGTAATACTTAATATATAAATGTGTACAACAATGTACAACATACATATATATATGTATATATGTATACATATATACCCTTAGCTCCCTTAGCTGCTAGACCCTTTAAAATTAAAGGGTTTGCAGACAAACCTCGGGTTCGCCAAAATCTCAGCAAAACCTCAGGTTTCTTGTGAAAACCTCGGGTTTTGGCTCAGATCCTGCAATTTAAAACAACTGATGAACATCAAGATGATGGCAACAACCAGAATCCGCACGAATGGCCTGTTGCAGAAGAAAATTGAGTGGAAGAAGGATTCTTGTGCGGAAAAAAAAGGCTCCAACTCAAACCCGTACTGAACCCGTACTGAGCCCATATTTTACCCGTACTAACCCATATGTCTAGCATAGAAACCTCGGGTTTGTGCCGAAACCTCGGGTTTTCCAAACCCGTACTGAACCCGTACTAAACCCATATTTTACCCGTATCAACCCATTATTTTTTAATGGGTTTGATCGGCCTGTATGGGAGACAAATTTTGCATGGTCCGTGAGGGAACATCGTGAACCGGGAAAGAAAATGAGATCGTTGCACCAAACTTTGGTAAAATGGGCTGAAAGCAACACAGCAAAACGGGTTTCCCTCAAAAACTTCGAACCATTTAATTAAAAATTTCAAGGTTTTGGTTGGTCAAGGTATATATATATATTATATATATATTATATATATATTATATATATTGTATATATACTTATCATGAAATCAAGAGCAATTGATATTGACGGTCTTTCTTTGCCATCCAATATCATGGCATATCATGGCCCCCTGATCACCCAATCCCACGCATCATGCCTGCGGCATTCCTAGGCTGCCAACTGAAGGTTTTGATCTCCTGCCCAGGTCTGTCAGGCGACTACTGTGGATAATGCTGAGGATAAAGTAAATAGTATGATAGTCGTAACTTAATGGTAACAACGAAAGCACTGATGATAATAAAAGTCTGACTTATATTCTATTACTCCAATGATGACAATTACGATACTGTGATAGTAGTTGATGTTATACATGTTGGTCGTAATATGTCGTAATTTCATGGCAATTTTTGGTGATCCTCGAATTGGGGGAACACTGCAGAGCACATCAACCACTAAAAAGGCACCAGTTTCGAAGATTATCCATGGTACCCAATTTCAAAACCTCCCAAGTGGGCTGACTCCACAGAGGCAAAGAATAGTTTATTATTATTTTTTTTTAAAAAAAAATATTGGTTTTGTTAACTCAGATGCACCATTCTCACATCTTCATACATCTTTGTACATCTTCGATATTGTCTATGGCTGCACTTCAAAATTTGAAGGGAAAACCAACAGCCAGGCCTTGGGTGGCCCACTCTCTTCCGCGAAGGTCAGGGTCACAGCCAAACGGCACTCCTGTTGGTCACTGGGTCACTGGGTTGAGTTCAGCGAAAATTGATAGGAAACCTGGTTTTCTGCTTCAAATACCGGGGGTTCTGCACATTTTCTTTGAAATCAAATCTGGAAGTGTAGGAATTCTGGGTATCTATGTGGCGTAGAATTTCATTCATTTGTAATCAACAAATATCAACAACCAGTGGCTAGGGTCATTCAGCAGCAATCAAAGGTATTGTGATGCACCAGCACTGCATCATCTGATTCCTCCACGAGGCTCAGAAAGAAGAAGAGAGGACCCGAAACGAACTGGCAAGCGCTCTGTGAAGTGTCCGAGGAGTTTGGGTGCTGGGTGAGGAATCCATTCTATAAATTTACTATAAATCGTATGGGAACTTACTCCTTTTCAGTGGCTGACACGGTGGCACTTGCAAATCTTGCAATTACTGGCACCTGAAATCATCTCGCCAGGACAAAAGAGCAAAAAGAGCACGATCTTTTGAGTAATTAGCAGTCTCGAATATGATTCATGCTCGATGAAAAATGAGTTCCAGTACTGTGTGCCCTTCGCCTGGTCCCTTAGAAATTCGCTGCGCATTGGCTGTTGCAGCTGTCGAACCCTCACAATCACCAGGATTTTTTTTTGTGAATTCCCGAAAGCCTCCCTTCAGAATAGTTCTGCGTGATGGCATACATTGAAAGGTTTGCATGTCAGGGAAAGTGATAGTATGTGATAGTGAACCACCAAATAGATCCAAATAGTAACTATGGCATCAAGTGTCACGGTGACGGTGTCACGGCGATCCACGGTTCTTTCAAACCATGCTGGGAGTTCCGAAGACCTAGCGAAAGCTTGGCATCCCAGGCTCCGGAAAAGTATGGATATTCTGGACACCCTCTGCGGAATTTCTGACATTTCCAAGTGGGTCCAAGGTCCAAACGGTTTCGGTCCCAAGGTTTGCTGGCACATTGCTGGTTTCATGAGCCGTTCAAGATAGGCCAAAACAATCTCGACGAAGCTACGAAATGATTCAGGTCATTGAAGTGGCTTTCACGCACACTTGAAAGACACACACTCCAGAAATCAACACGCTCCATCAAGAGTGAACAGGCCATGATTTTGAAGGATCTCGGCTGTGTGTGCAATGCAGTCTCACCATTTTCAGGAGATCTGAATCATTCTGAATCTCTCAATCTCAATGCAAGAAAGTCACGCTGTCAAGCAAATGTACTGGCAGAAAGAGCCCCTGGCCAGCACATCAGCTCAATCTGGTGCAGTGACGACATGAGCCATTAAAAATACCCCTATCCCAGGTCCCATCTCATCATACTAGTTGGTTGATAGGTTTCCCTACTATGGCAATCATAATCCCCAGGAAACTAGGTAGTATAATCCCCTATAGCAATCAATTCACCAGGGTATTTTTAATGGCTGACATGAGCTGAATGGCAATGTGGGGCGATCCTTTTTGTGATGCAAGCACTACAAAATACTTGAAAGCACAGAATGGCATAGAACAAACAACTGCCAGAAAGGATTTACTCAGCCAGAAAGTCCTTCCTGTCACAATCAACTTAACATTCCGCATGACTTTGATATACTTTGCACCACGTATCCTCCCTCCCTCCCCCTTAGCCAGTTGAAACTCTTCAGAACCCTACCAAAAAAAATCAGGAAACCGGACTGCAAGTTGAATCACAAACTTCAGTGTTTGAACACTCCAAAATCATCCAAAATCATCCAAAATCCTCAAAGTTCTCCATTTCCCCAGTACTTTCGTTGATGTTCAGCGACTGTTCCCGGTGCCGCCCATTGGGAGATCATGACACATGCTGGTGGCACTCGCCCGACTCGCGGGATGCCCGGAAACTGGTGGCCTCGATTCGGGTCTGGTTGATCAACAATGGGGATAGCACCAACCGTTCAGTGGGGATATAGATGGAGATACCTAACATTGATATCATTGATATCCCCATCCTGGGGTAATTCATGAGAATTTGTATTCATTGATTCTCGATGAACTGGATAGTTAAATCCAGTGTAGGTGGATCTGAGTGGGATATTATAATAGGATATAATTGGATCTAACATGGGCTATTTAACTCACATTAACCAACCAACTCAATGCTACCATGGGGATATAACATGATAGAACCAACATTAGTCAACATATATGCTGATATGATGGGAATCTATATAACTCATCATTAACTAATCCAACCAACAAAAACAAAGATGTGCGTTGATCCAACCTTGGTTTCCGTCAAGTCCAGCCCCTGAGTGGCAGACGTGGTTGGAGCTATGAGTCGCCGGCGTCCTGAAAACGTTGAGCGTCTTACCTAATCTTCAAAAGGTACATAACATGGATTAAAATGGAATCCATGAAATTGGCAGTCTCAATCTCAATCTCGATAGATCATGATAGATCTTGAGGGAAGATGATCATCTTCCACACCTTGGAAGGCGCTTCTAGGGTTCCTTCGTGGCCGCTCCTTTCGACGGCTGGCGCCGGAGCTGGGACTGATGGGGGCACATCCTTGAAGAGCTTCAGCAAATCCACCTGGTCCGTCGGGGGCGTTTTTAGACATTTATGATTTATGACCTGAAAAGAGATCCAAAAGCATGGGGGGATGAAAAAGCAAGCTACCGATGTAGTCACATCACCCATGCTTGTTTTCTGAGTTTATGATTATGTCAAACATCCTTAAACATGATTAAAAAAAACCAACAGCTGCGGATGAAAGATGATGAAAGTACGAAACCAAAGGGTGCTTCTTTATGCTGGATGCTCCACCAGCTCCCATCCAACGGCCAGGGCCACATGTGACACCACCGAAATCAATGGCAGGTTCAAAGCAGCTGCCGTAACACCAAGCCTTAGGGGAGAACCGGCGCTGAGACTGACACTCAAGAGTTCTCAACTTTCAGTAATGTGAAATGGTTAAAGAATGTTAAAGATAGGTCTATATAAATCTCACCGTAGATTGCACAGGTGTTCCAATCACACAGTTCTAAGCCGAATGCAAGAAAAAAGACTTGTGCATCCTGTCTTGTCCTTCACGCATATCTACCTGTCTGTCCAGCCATCCATCGATCCGTCTTTAACATCGGAAGATATATCATGATCTATGCATACCGTATCCGATCCATACCAATCTATCAATTAATCGTATCCGTCCATGCTTACATCATATTAATGATCATGCATGGTTCTTCACAGCTAATTTCAAGCATCCATTCAGAACTCACCATAAAGGGAAAAAAACAGGAACATAACATTCCTGCAGAATCTGATAATTTGTCACAAATAATGTGCTTAGCGCCAGTTCAGATCGAGTAAGTAACGATGAAATTGCAACAAGAACCAGAAAACATCGCTGCCTTCTCGGGTAAAACTATAGAATGCTTGAACTAGCCCGGTCCAGACCACAGGAACATGACAGTTTAATAACACCGGGGTATTTGTTTTACAAAACTGGTGTAATTTCGAACAATTAAATGTGAATGACATGAACTGAATTGAACGCATTAAGATTGTGCAATACATGTTTTCACCAGTTTTTCCAAATTCATCCAAAAAATATTTCCCCTTTTGGTGGATTATAATTCATCCAACCACAGCAAACTATTCATCCAAATTTGGTTTTCCTAATTTTTCTTTGTCCAACCACAGCAATCTATAATCTCCATTGGTGGCAGCGTCTCAGAGTCCCGGCAGGAAGGCGCCACCTCTCTCTGGCGGCCAATGGTATAGCCTGATCCACACGAAGTGCTCTGCTGCCATCCCCGTTAGGAAGGACAGTTTGAGACGACCGAAAGCCAACTAAATAAAAGAAAATATATAAAACATAGACTTGGGTTGCTTCTGGGATTGTTTGCCCATGTTTGCCCTCTTGGGTTGTTTCATGGATTACCAAAGAGCACCCCAAGAAACGAAGCACTTTGCTGAGATTGGAATGAAATGACAACACTTTATCTGATAGATTCTGATAGTAACTTGGACCAATGAAAAGGCCAGAACCCCCCTCCCCCACCTGAAAATCAGACTCAATGCGTTCAGAGAAACCACCAGGAACCATGTGCCTTAGGATGCGCAGCTTGGAGTCTCGTCTGATTCCACCCTAATGTGGTAAACCCTGAACCATCTGGGGATGATCCTTGTGACCAATTTGTGGTAATATTGGGGATGATTCACTATATTCACTATTGGCTTTACCACATCACTATACATTACTCATTTTGAATCGATCTGCTTCTCAACCGTCATGAAAATCCGACCCTGAGTGCCCGTCTTAAAACCCAATGTGCCCAAAAGACGCTGCCAAAGGGCAAGAGGGACCTAGGCTTTGACAGCTTGATTGATTCAAGTGGATTTCATGGCAAAGTCAGTGGAGGCATTGAATGGGATGCGTTGATGTTTCTGTGGTTCAGAATGTTCAGAGAATCTTGTTTTCTCAGCGAAACCAAACCGATCTTCACCTACATTTGAAATCGACCAGGGGAAGAGCACGAGTTGCCTGAACACACTGCCCGGCAATGCAAAAGTATGAGTGGATATGAATGGAATATCCATCCCTTCGGTCAAAGCTGCCGTCAGAAAATCATCACCCCACAGCGTCCATTGTGGCCCCATGGCCCACCATGAGACCCGGCCCCCGCACCGAAGCATCAGCGAGAAGATCCGGCGCTGACCGGTGCAAGCAGTGGGCGATGTGTTGGCTGGCCGGGATATATGGGATAATCTATGGATATCTCCCATCTATAAATGGAACTCGGATGTTTTTGCATTGCTTTTTCAGTTTTCCATTGCCAAGTTTGCTTATTGGAGGATAGCAAAATTGGAGATGCCACATGTCCCCCAAATATGGCCTGGACATTGATCAATCCAGCCTCTTGAGGGATCCCAACTGGCTATGCCGACGTCATCGAAAGCACTCGAGGCACCAATGGCGCTTGGCATCTCAACTGTTGGGTGGTGATTCGCATCACTTTTGGCTAGCTCACCCTGTTTGTTCATCACATAGAATACGTTTTTCTCATAGATCCACGTTCTTATTAATTACTAATACATATATGTATATGTATGTGTATATATATATGATTATATATGTATATATATATATATGTATGTATGTATGTATGTATGTATGTATGTATGTATGTATGTATGTATGTATAAATATATGTATACACATTATCATTTTTTGATATGCATGTAGCATATCATTGCACCGCAAGTGACCCCAAGTGGCTCCAGATGGCCTTCTTGAGCATCCCCTCACTCCCCTCACGGCGACCGCAGCAAGCTAAGGGCATGGCCTTAGCCAAACAGCTCCGTAAATCTGGGATTCAATTCATTCAATGTCCAATGTCCATGTGAAAGATATGTGAAATCAATTGAAATCATATGAAATATATGTGAAATCACCATAAATCACATATGTCCATGATGTGAGGACCATTATTTTTGGAATTGACATGAATTGACGATCCATAAATGATCAGAAATTGGATGAAATTGGTATATATGAAGTGGATTTGAAGTGGACTTCACACATTTCACCCACAAATGGGGTCCAACCATCCATAAACTTTGGCTGAAACATAAAAAATCACGGAAAAAACATGAAAAAACTGTTGGATCTTGAGATTTCCATTGGGAAAAAGAGGTGACATCGGTGACATCCGCCCTGAGAATCCTGGCTGTCCACATGTGGACCAACTCCAGCACGGACAACCTCAGTGCCAGTTTTTCCCATCTGATCTCTGTGTTTTTGAGGCACCCAAGTCACCCAAGTCACCCAAGATCTATGGTTTTGCCATAGAACCAGCCGAAAAGATTGGAGTCCTGGATTTTTAAGTCACCTTGTGGCTGATCACTTCAAAGACACCCAAAAAATCTCTCAATGATTCTGCAGACGCCCCTGCACGTGATTTCATGGAAAAGAATGGCAGTTCAAATAACCACAATGGGATGGTTACCTGCCATGATTTACAGTGTTTACAGCTATAATTTATCCAGATATATCCAGATTAAGTGAATTATAGTGAATTAGAATCCACTTAAATCCCACTTTTCATGGTCAGATGCCCATATTTTCCCATCTGTTAAGGTCATCCGACCGCCTCTGGGCTCAACCCGACACTTGTGCTCGCAGCGGCCCGTGCATTTGAGCTCCAACTGGGCGGCGCCAGTAGAAACCCTGGTTACGGTTACGGCAACAAGTTATACTACCTGATACTACCTGGTTTTTTTGGGGATTGTGAACTATATGACTTATGAATGGGAAAACTATGAACCAACATGAACCAACTAGCATTTCATGAGATGGGATAGGGCCGGATAGGGGGATTCTGAATGGTTCAACTGGGATTTTGCCACACTCCCTGGCATTTATATAACTGCGCTACAAGGATATAATGTGTTATGATGTGATGGAATGGGATATTCAGATGTAATTAGTGGAATTTCATGGGATGTAAACCGGATATAATGGGATTATATAGGCATCCTTCCAAGAAATTTCTGAACCATCATGAGTCTGTGGTGATGATAAGATATGATAAGGAACTGGTTTGGTTGCTTGAAACATTGACTTCATTTTTGATTGTTTCTTTGATGATTCGATGATCGTCCACCTGCAGAGATTTGGACCATGGAACTCAAAGTGAGGAATCTCAGCTCTGCACCAAGTGACCTAGATTTCACAACTGAAATACATGTAACATGTTGCAACCATCAACAAAACAAATCTCAATTCAAACTTTCGGTGCTGAGTTGCCCAGCTGCAAATGCAGCTTTGCCTTGGTTGTCGCGTGAAAGTATCGTCCAGCACCGGATTGCCTGAGATTTCTTTGAAACTTGCCACGTGCCATGGAAAATTGCTGGGCTTCCCGTGATTTGCAGAAAAAAAAACACGGTGAGTTTTTGGGGGAAATTTTGCTGAATACATCTGCAAACCATGATTTGTATCCTAGAAATATGATGAAAAATTGAATATGTCCACTCTGGTCGCGTCCCTCAATGCGGCCAATTCTGGTCGCCATGGATGGAAATCATGAAAATTATGTCAATGTAGGCAACAAAAATTGGCACAAGCTGGTGGACCATTCGTCCCACCCATTTTCCATTGAAAGAGGCATGGTTGTGGATGGTTAATGACTGGGGGTAACGACATTACCAAATACGCTTTGATGATCTATATTAAATTATATCTAGAAAATATTCGAAACATATCATATATCTGTAAAAAAACTATAAATCAAGTTGGGTACAGCAATGGGTGGGCAGATGCCGTGGTGTTTCGGCCGCATTCATGGGTGCATCTCATTGCATGCTGTTGGAAAAACCAAATTTGTTGGGTTTTGTGGAACAAAATGGAACGGGCAACATTTTCCCAAAGTTGTGGATGTTCTATTGGCATTTTGAAGGGTCCCGAAAACTTTTTTTGTGACATAACAAGCACCGAACCCAAAAATCATCAGTTTTTTCCCGTCCAAAGTTTCATCTGTGCGATGATTTGTGTCATCTGTCCTAAATGTTTCATTTTTTGTTTGGATGCTTATCAATGTCATCGTGAGAAATTCGGGGCAAAATGGTTATAACATGCACATTGAACATTATTGCCTCACCTTGGCGGACCCTGGAGCCATGCATCGTGCGCATCGTGCCAGTCAGTGAGCAGGCTGACTGGCTGCCCCACGGGAGAAGTCAAAGAAAAAAAGGTGGCCAACTTCTCCAGAACAGCAAAACATGTAAATTCCTTGTACACGCATGCAGCAAGATGAAGAAAGCAGAACCCATCGAACCGATAGTGAAAAATTCCATCATCCAAGGCAAAGCAAACAGACAGTTGCACGGCCGTCTGCCGCGCAATCACTCATGAGAGACGAAATGCAGGAGGCAGAAGTGCCAAATAAACGCTGTAGAAAAAATTAAAGCATTGCCCAACAGCGTGCGAAACTCATCTGCAGCAAGGCCACCAATGGCCATTTCAAACACCCAGGGACGACCTTCTCGAAGTCTAGGGAATCGTGCGCCAAACATACCTACATAGATCTCAATCAGGTCGGTGTCCACAGCCGCAAGCGTAGCAAGAATCTCTCCAAACGCACTAGCCATCCGTGACACGGCAAGCAAATACACACGCAGCGAAACATGACCGTTATTGCACAGCACCTCAACAAGAAAAGCCTTGACGCAGCAAAAATTGCTCCGAAACGCCACGGCCGTCTGCCCACCCCCAGCCAACTACATGACAACTTCGCGAGCTGAAATAGGAACTACAGTAGGACTAATAACACTGGGGACACAAGCGCTAGGTCAATGTTGATTGAAACATAACCATATAGCCAGCAATGGTTGGTTTATGGTGTCATGAGGGAGTGCAGTGGGCCTGGCAAATCTCGCGCTAAAACTCTTGCCGCCGGTAATCTATCGATGAATTAATTAATAGTAATAGTATTAATCCAATAGGTAATATATTTACCCATAGAATCCCAAAGACTAAAATTAAGCAATTGACCCAGTTCACCAGCATCCATCCACCATCGCTGGGGTACATCCAGAACGGTACACCGGCAAGAAGATGGGCTGCAGATTCATTCGCCTCGGGGTGTTGGGGCAAGACTCGTTTTTTTCCAGTTCGAAAGGAAACATTTGTACGCACTGGAAGATTCACCAATCATACCGTTACATGAGGTGTTTCCTGCACTGTAAATGTATTGTATATACATATATATATGTACTGTATATAATATATACGTACATGTGTGCATGCACATACATGTAATGCCACACTCCCTCGTTGACTAGTCTTAACAGCCTGAGACTATACATCAACATAGCCAAAATCGAGCGTCAAATGGGGAGGTGGTAACTGCACGGGTGTGTGCGAGCCAATCTGCATGTTGCTATATGTAATGCAGTACTCAGTACTCAATTATGCAGTGTTTGTCTGAAATTTACCAACCAAGTGTGCAGAGGGCAGTGCTTGCTTCATTCTTGACTCATCGCCAGGTGTGCACAAATCGAGAAGTGCAACAAATCGAGAAGTGCAACTTCGCATCGCTCCATCCGGCTGCATTTTTACCACTCAAGACATCGATGTTCATTCAGCGGCAGAAGATCGCATTTGCCCATTTTGCTTGCCTGCATTGCTGTGTATCCCTGCACCGTGGTTCTCTTTTGGGGAAGCCCCCTTTTCTGGGATCCTTTTGTTGGGAGTGGTGCCCCATCCACACCAAGCAGTGTTGTGCTCCCCGACCCGATGGTACCAATCCAACATTTGGTCCAAATGCCAATGTTGTACGGCCTCCAGGAATGCACTACCCGGAGAGGCTGGAAGGACCGGACAAAAATATGAGGGCTGTGGGAGCAAGGCATCGTTTTCTGCAGTAAGACTGGTGAACAGCACCTTGTTTGGAAAAAAATGATTACAGTATATAGTTTTCAGGAGATTGTTGCTAAAACTAAAACCATCAACCAAGCTCAAGCTGCTCCCAAACACCAACCACTGTCAGGATTCCTCTTGCCTGTGGGCCACAGTCTGGCCGATGCAGGCAAACCTACTCAAACTACTCAAGAAGAATAGGATCCTACAGTAGCGGAAGTAGAAAGCAAACCACAAAATATAAACAAACATCAAAACAATGGAATCTTTACAAATCGGGCGAACCACCTCTTTTCATTTTCATATTGACATGTTCAGGGCTTAGCAAAGACAACTTTAGGAACTGCACCCTGTGCACCAACAAGGATAACAAGGCTGGTGCCTGACGGAGAGGTTTGGATCCCAACCTCGGCCGATTGAGCTTCCGGTCCGGGTATAGTATAACTGGCTGAACCTTGGACAGCCTTGGAAAAAGGTGTAGAACACAAATACCATCAAATGTCAATTTGGTTCCCCAGCAAACCCTCCGAAATCTATGGAATGAAAAGAGATAAAGTTTGTACCTTGCCGAAGCATTGGCTGTCCTTTTGAGCTCTATCCATGGCATTTCTGTCGACACTCGGCATGACAGTCATGACCCACCTCCATCATCCCTCGTCGCGACATGTCCGAGATGCTGTGATCAATACTTCTCATCAATGCCCTGGGCCACAACACGATCGAGCCACATTTGCTGTTTGAGGACCTTCATTCATATCATTCATGGCGGATCATTGGTGGACCATAGAACCTTACATCAAAAAAAAAACATCGACCTATCATGCACACCACTTGCGGAAGTCCATGACCTTTCAGCCAAAACCATCTGCCGGCTTCAACAGTTCAACCCGAGGCAAAATTGGCTCAGTTCCGGACATGACCATCGTGCAGGTTGACTTCGGCAAGGGCATGCCCATTGGATCCTGATGCAGGGCACTGAGCATCTGTGGCTCAAACTTGTTGCCCCCAAAAAGACTGAATGGGTGCTAGAAACATCTAAACATGATTGTTGCCCCAAAAACACGTTTTTTCACCGTTGCATCGCCACACACCGCTCCGTCAGACTGGCCAAAGAGGACTGGGCCAAGAAGAGACACGCGTAGCCTGGGAAGCTTGTAGAAAATGTTCAAGAGGATCAATCTATGGTAATGTTGATTGAATTTTGCTAATTGCATTTAATTGCCAGATATAAGACAATAATAAAAAGCCATCATGGAGTGTATTCTTGAAGCTATGATAGGTAATGGATCTATCCATTAGCAGCCATGATTCATTATGGTTGATCCGCAAGCAGGCTATCTATCATTGATGATCTCTTCCCCGTTTCTGAAGGTCTTTGTGCTGCACATCTTGAAGCGTCTCAACGTCAAGTGTTGTGAGTCGCAAGCTTCACACTGTCTTGCTGGCTGATATGGGTTGTCTGGAAATGGGTAGCGTTAAATCTAGTTGTTTATCGATTCTTTACCAATTAAAATGCAATTTTTGGGCCTAAACTCCATTCTCAGACACACCCATAGCAACAATCGACTCTTTTAGACCAATTGTGGAGGCTTCAGAGAGCAGAGTTCCCGCAAACCACCCAAAAACACCGATCAATCAGCTGCAGACATGGAATGATCATCCAAGACTTGGAATGAAGGACACACATCGGGGAATGGATGGAACCAGCTACTTGATATCAAGCAAAAATACCTTCCCGTCCTCGGCTTTCCTCTCGGAGAATCTAGACACTTTCCCCATGCAGCCGAGTAACGAGTAAGCCAACTCTGGCTGTAATAGTCCTGGAAGCCGCAAAGACAGTGTATGATGGCTCTCTTCCCGACAAAGGCAGGTCCCAACAAACTGAGCCTCTTGTAGTTCCTTTGATTTTTTTTTAAGAGATCGATCTGATTGATGAAAGCAATGAGTTTTGGGGGCTCTATATAATTCTGCGACATAGCCAGGTCATTATCAGTCACTCTGCAGCGATCCAACTGTTGCGGTGCTTCTTCTTCTTCTGCTTCTTCTTCTTCTCGAGAGGGTGGGTTTTGGGGGCAGACATTCTGTCTTCCAAGAAAGCCGATAAGAATGGGTGATCGAAATCAGTAGGAAGTGCCGGACACAGCTGCTACAGGTATCTGACTTCATCTATACCTATGAGGTTTCTTGGATGAAGTAGAGTAATCTTGGACAAACACGGCCATGAAAGAAGTTGCATGTGCGCAACACCAACTCTTTGAAAGGGTCTTTCATTGTCTGGTATTGATCAAAATGGGAGGTTGCTTTCCAAACAGCCTCACACTTCTCCTGAAAATTTGTCCTGTGCATACTACGTCACTAAGCAAACATCACACTAGGGAACTGCAGAAATGTCTGCAGTGTCTGCAGTGAGGGCTACAAAATATCACGAAATTAACTGGTTTTCTGCGGAAGGAATTTTGCTTTGTCCACTGAAACCTCTAGTAACCTTTAGTATCTGTTCTAGATCTGTTCAGCTTTGGCACCTCAATTTTCCAGGGTGACTGTCCCCAACCCACGCCCTATCCACCCTCGTGAGCATCGGAGATCCTTGAGGAAAAGGATTGGAGGTTGATAAATGGTGAGATTTCGCCTCCAGCTGTCAGCCAAATTTTCCCCAGCCCACGGAAATGGGTGTGGATGAATGCTGAGTGTCTTGACCAAACAGAATCTACCTCCACCCTTGTATTGTCCATTTGAGTGGGGCTTGGTGCTACCATGTGGGCGCAGAGAATCTTGCCCGCCCTTCTGGTTGTTCAGGTTCAAGAGCTGTTCATTTCGCACATAAACAACAAAAAACGCTTTCACTCTGTTGGAGCCTGTTCTTTAAGATGGCACAGATGTTGTTTTGGTGCAAACAATAAAATGTGCTTGTTTGTTGCGTGCGCATATGTGCGTGTGCAACTGCCCCTTACAAGGGGATGTGATGACATTCACTGATCATTTTTTGATCACTGCAAGGCCAAAGATCTGCATCGATATGAGGGGTTCCATAAATAAATACGGCTACCCCAAAATGGATGGTTTATAATGGAAAATCCTATTAAAGTTGATGATTTGGAAAACCTCCATCTGCAATATTATGCAAATATCCGCAATATCACAAAATGCAGCTATCTGAGACTCTGAGACCAGTTGCAGGGACAAAAACTCCTGGATTCACGAGGCTCTTCATTTCAACCATCTTCCACCAGCACTTTCATATTAGAAAATTCAGGATCCGCCGTCACCGTTTCGTCACCGTTTCTGTGGTCCCCGGCTTCGCTCCAGTGTTGAGAAAGGCGAAAGTCACCGCAGGAAAATATTCGGGATGGAACCTCGGCAATCGAATGGAAAATTCCCGGGTTCTAAGTGGTTGGTTCATGTTGGCGGTAATAGGGATTCCCATGGATTTTGAAAATATGATGAAAATATGATGATTATCCCCTGGATATGGTAGTGTGACATAGAATTTCACCCCCGAACTGATCATCAACCAACAGCAGTTTTGAACAATGCCTCTTGGGGATCATACAGTAAAAATTGGGGAGGGAAAAGCATCCAAACACCGTCGAAACATCCACCAAATACAAGCTCCTGCCAACTCTCGATCGACGAGGGGTCGCTTGTGCCAGGAGTTTTTCATAGTTATTCCACTGCAGTCCAAATGTGTCCGGGTGGTGGGTTCAGACCATTTCAGACCCAAAAAGAATTGACGACCCCAAATTCATGGTTTGCCAAAACCATAGTAATCCATGCCTATTGTGAAATTTCCCTTGGTTTGACGGCAACTGGGCCACAGCACCAGCTGTCCACGGTAGTTCGCGTCACCAAAATCCTGGGTGTGGAAGCTGCGCAGCGGTGCGAACAGCTGCTTTTACCAGTGACATCCTGCTGCTTCAAACTTCAAACTTCAAATCCACACGTTTCGTAGTTCCGTAGAAATGGATGTAAATGGATAGTTCATCCGTGTCTAAGTTGGCTGTCTGTGGGATTTCAAGAATCTAACTGCTGAAATCATCAGAAAAATCATCATCCCATTCCCGGCTCCAGCGGTGACGTCAAGGCTCAAATGGTCTTGCGCTTTGATACCCTTGGCGCGTTCCAGGAGCTGAGAGACCTGGACAGGGAAGGGCACCAAATCCTTGGCCACCTTCGGCCATGTGATAAAAATCATGTGTATATATATATTATATACATATATATATATATATGTGCATATGGTTATACATGTTTGTAATATAGATACGTGTTTGCATATAATTGTATGTATGTATGTATGTATGTAATGTAATGTAATGTAATGTAATGTAATGTAATGTAATGTAATGTAATGTAATGTAATGTAATGTAATGTAATGTAATGTATGTATATATGTATATGTATATGTATATGTATATGTATATGTGTATGTGTATGTATATGTATATGTATATGTGTATATATATAGTGTGCGTGTGTGTGTGTTTGTCTATATTTCATATTTCATATTATGCATGTTATCCTACATTTAATATCATGTATATTATATATATATATTATATATTGTATTCGTATGTTTTGTACTACTACTAAATTCACACACTAAACTTGACACATAACAATGGCCCAATCCATTAGTATGTTCATCTTTGGAACCCCATGTTTCAGGTTCCATCTTATTGCAGGTTCCATGTTGAGTTCAAAGTAGTATGAAACTGATCGGATATGAAGTTGAACCTATTCCAATCAAAAAATCCGTCATCTTCATGCTGACATGAAGTGATATGCATGCTGCATCTGTCTTGGATGACTGTGCGCTTGCTACAAAATAAGAACCGAGACGCAACCACCCCGTAGCCCTGTCTGTTGCAGTCACACATCAGTCTTGCGGAAAATTGATATTCTGGTCAGCAGATCGTGCCATGTGTAACCCTCACTTGGGGGGACTTGTTCCCAACTTATGTGCGCTTCGGGACTTCAAATTGTGGACTCAGTGACTCAGTGTTGGGGGATGAACATCCAGCCGCTGGTGCCAAAAAAAACCACACCATCCAAATGGCCCATCCCATTGCCCCATTCAGACCCCAACGATCCAGGTTTCGGCACCGCTCCGCCTGGTAAGCAATGGAAAATTTCTGCATACCCTTCACTCATGATGAAAACACATGTTTTTCTCCATGAAAAATTGGCTTCCAATTTGTGGGTGAAGAAGGGGAAGTATGCTAAGCTGATGTGTATCGCATCAGCCATGGTTTCTCGAGCCTATCTAGATGACTGTTGCACAAGGATCTTTGAAACCAGGAACATCTAGGAACATAGCTTGGCATGGTAATTTGCATTTGTCCATCCAGCCATGTTTCCTTGGTCGCTGATCCCATCAGACATGATCTACGCAGTCGACATGGCCTGTACTGGTCCCCTGAGGGCCGCTCCCATGTGCAGAGCCAACTTTGGGCTCCATGTTCAGTAACCTTTGGGCCCCAGCCACGCCATTGCAGATGGACTCTCAAATCGGCTCTATCCATAGCCATAAAAAGGCTAGAAGACTGGGCGGGTATCAGTGTGCCAAAAACATCCAAAAACATGGAACGTCGACACTATGCACAAATCTGACTTGATAGTGCCCCGCAACATTTGCTTAAACAGTTCTCAGTGTTCAAGGTCCACAAGCTTCTGGGATCTGGACTCAACATTCTTCAGTTTCTTGGCAAACATGGCAAACTCCTTGTTCCACTCTGGCAAATGTTGTGAAAGCTGCAGTTCCTTCCAGCAACGCTTTTTGTCACGCCGCTGGTGACATCCCCTCATGCTGATTGGGTAATAGGACTTCACAATAACCAGTTGCTCATACTAAATCCCAATGACTAGTATATAATCCACAACATTCCATACAGTAGCGGATGGTCAACCACAGGGTTGCTGAAGACTTGATCCCACTTGTCAGGCTTGACTCACCCCTTCCACCTCTGCCTGCTTGGCATCCTTGACGGAAAAAAAGACACTGATCTGCAGGTGTTTGGCAGTGTCATGGTCGGTTTTTTCATGATTGCGGGCAACATCATTCGTGCGTACCAATGTGTTTGTATCATTATGTATATGTACTGCTTCATACTTATGGTTCTTCAATCCATGTTGCAGCACGTGGAATTCCAATCACATCTGTCTGGGATGATATAAAGGTCTACTAAAAGAAACCACCTGTTTGGGAGCCATCGTCGAAGCGCTGATGGAGTGTAGCAAACCGCCTCAGCCATGGGCTCAATCTCTCCAGGTCGCTCACAACAGTGGTAAAATACTACTGTATAATGGTGACTATTTTTTGATGATGATGATGATGATGATGAGGAGGAGGAGGAGGATTGTATGATTGTATGAGTGTATTATATGATTATATGATATCATATCTGATGATATGATGACATGATGATGTGATGATATGATGATATAGTCATGCTGACCATCATGACTTGACCTTCGGCACTGTTGTCAACCTTGGCGCATCATCTGCTGTTCATCCCACAAAAAGCTGGGTTCCCCGTGCGAATCTCGTCGGAATTACAAGACCTGGTTCATGCGTAGGGCTTCGTTCTACAATTACAGAGGGGCCACTCATTCACAACCCCCCCAAAAATACCTGATCCCCATTCTTGTTGCTGACATTTCCATATGTTCGGTATATTTTCTTGATCAAATCCCTTAAATTCTGCGGTACTGTATTTTCTTGATTAACATCATTTAACATCATTTAACATCATTTAACATCATTTAACATCATTTAACATCCTAAATTCAGTTGCTCAAGTCCCCAGTTCTCTTTGTTTATAGGCCCTGGGAACGCAACAAGATTCAACAAGTTGTCCGCACTGGGCGCCAGCGCTGGCTGAGGCCCGTCTCAACAACTACGAAGTGCTGCACTGCCCTGGGTGGTGAAACGATAATTTAAAAAAAGATTGGTATACCAACGGTATACCCTAAATGATGGTACATCCCAATTAAAAGTTTTCGTGTACAGTACCCCATTTAGAAAAGATGATGATGATGATGATTATTATTATTATTATGATGGCATATCCCCATTTAATGGATTTATGGTTTGCCTTGATGGGGAGAAAAGCGTCTTTTTGACCATGGGATTTATATAAATCTGTAGCCCATTGACAAAGGCATTTGGGATTGACCTAGAAGCGTCATCTCACTGAAGTTCTAACACGATACATATACCTACCTAAAATTGGTCAAAGTAGTGTTTTCGGCATATTGTTGCTAAGCAATAACTCAAACGCAAGAACTTCAAGCCTCTTCCATTCTCACGCGCTTGCACGTTCATGGATGAAATATTGCCACGCAAAATTACAGGCTTCCGCTTTTGAACTCAATTTGGGTTTGTCTGGAAAGTGGGTACCGCCAAATCCATGGTTTGTCGTTCCCTATTTAAATCATAGTTAATCACTATGATCCCTACTTAAATTAATCCTACTTAACCTCTTGCAGTCATAGTTCAGCGTCATGTTCCCTATTAAAATTTGTTTATTATCAGTTTCTGTATTAAAGACATAGTTGATTGTCATCACGTTCCCTATCAAAATCGTACTTGAGTGTCATTCATCTTCCCTATTAAAATCATAGTTAATGATAGCATTCCTCATGAAAATCATAAGATTTTCCCTATCAAAATCATAGCTAAATAGTGAGTGCTACAGGGAATTATCATGTTCCCTCTACAAATCCTCTCAAATAGGGTTATACTGGTACAAATCAACCCCAGGTTCAGAACGCTGGGCCGCTGGGTATCCATACTCCCATGGCACCATTTCGTCCTGGTCTGGTACAGGTGCTTTGGGCACCATACCATGTAGACTCACACTAAATTGAGTAGAGGGACATACAAAAATTGTCCTGGTTGAGACAAGTTTGTCCAGATTTTGGGGCTTTGATAGCTTTGTAAATACATCGTATCATCTATCATGCCATCTACGTTATCTAAAATACACTGCAATGCAACTTTTCCTCCTGAAAAACCATCCCAAGTCGCTGGATATCCGGCTCCACATCTCCCAAGTCAACTCCTCGCTAGACGACGAAGCACTCTCCTCAGCGGTTTGCAATGCTGGGTTCGGCATCTTAAAATCCCTACTATTCCATGCATCATCATCATCATCATCATCATCGTCCTTCCCATTGAAATAGTTTGATATAGCTATACATTGGGTACATTGGGCTATAACCTCACTTTAAGAACAGACCCAACTACGGTCCTGTGAGTCCTGTTTTTGTCCCTGGGACGATCCAATTGATCCACATTTTTTTCGTGCCCAGACAGGTGGACAGTCCATGTATCAAGATCTAACACGAAAACTACGGGAATATGTGGTAGACCCAATCATAAATCACGTTTTTCGTTATAGCGCTGAATATTCCCCAAATGGTGGAAATCCGGAAAATAGATGAAAATAGGCGATGTTTTCTTGGGGGGTGTGACCCCACACAACTAATAATTTACAGTAATATCCCAAGAAACATTTGTTTGTTCCAACTTTTTGGCTGGGATGAAATGGATGCCACCTCACAACTTGCTTTAAAACATGTGTTCTTGGATAGCCCCTTATCCTCACTTAAATCCCAATTATATATCCCAATCATATATCCCAATTATATATCCCATTATGTCCCCATTATATCTCCATTGTCCATTGAATCAAATGATCTGCCCATTATGGTCAAGGATCCCAGGGGTCAGGCATAATGACCTTCCTTCCACCTCCGAAGCGCTTCCGCTGCCTGAGGATGCCAGAAAATCCTGGTCATATCTGGATAAATCATAGTAACTCACCAAACTTTAAACAAGGCCATTTGGGGGATAGTGATCCCTACTCATCATCATTCCAGTGACATCACAATAAGATCGTGATAATCCATTTAGATTGAATCAAATATCACCTCCATTGTACATACCCACATAAAATTGGGTGCAGAAATAAGCATTGCTGCTGGTGAATATCCCCATTCTCAATGATTCCCCCCCATTTGGTCAATTTGACTCAGACCAAAAAAGAACGGGAGGACAAGGCACTATCACTATCCATGAAGACCTGATTAGCGACGATCAAGTCTGGTATAGAGATGGGTTCCTTCCTTTTTGCGGTTTCAGCAACGAGACGAAATTTGTTCCCGAGTCCCGAGTCATCCTTCTTTTTAGCGCCAGTTGTTGCAACACAACACGTTTGGGACCCTTCGAGGTCATGTCCATTCCATTTAAGATGTAGGTGTACGGCTACCAAAAATATATTTAAAGATTGAAGACCAAAATTCAAGACCACATATAATAATGTATATATATATATATATTTAGATATATATATATATATATTATATATATATTATATATATATATATATTATATATATTATATATATATTATATATATATTATATATATATTATATATATATTATATATATATTATATATATATATATATTATATAACAAAATATATTATACAATATATTGTGTTGTATCGTATCGTATCGTATCGTATCGTATTGTATTGTATTGAATTTTAAATTATATGTTTTTGATTGTATTATATCAATTATATAATATTATAGTATAGTATAGTATAGTCTAGTCTAGTATAGTACTATATATTATATATTATAATATATATATATATGTATTACCTTATATATGGTCCCGTCCTCCGTCTCGCCACCTCCCCCCCCCATGGGTTGGGCTCCCAGGTAGCACCCCCCCTTCCCTTCTATTTGCAAGCTATTGGCAGCATTTCTGAGGTCCAGCTTCGTATTTGCTAGGTCTTTGCAGCATTTCTGGCTACCAGCCTCGAATTTACTAGGTACATGCTACCTTTTAGGCGACCTACGTAGCACACATACTCCCTCAAAGTACCTACGTGCTACCTATATATAGTCAATTATAGTCATATATACATGTGCTATGTATCTACTTCCTATTTACTACCTGTGCGCCCTCACAACTCTACATGTGTTTGACATATACCGTACCTACCATACATTCCAATGATGCCATGCATACCATACCTATCATACCTATCATACATAACACACATACCATACATATGAAACATAATTACCACACCTACCATACATACAATACCAAACATACATGCCATACATACCATACCTACCTTACATAGGAAACGTTCCATACCCATCATAGTAACCATACATACCATACCTATCATACCTATCATACACACCACATATACCATACATAATTACCACGCCTACTATGCATACAATACCAAACATACATGCCATACATACAATACCTACCTTACATAGGAAACATTCCATACCCATCATAGTAACCATACATACCATACAGATCATACGTTACATACTGTCATATCAAACATACCATGCCCAACAGACTTACATACAATAATTACCATCCATACAATACCAACCATTCATGCCATACATACCATACCTACCAAACATACAATACTTTGCAAACATGCCATACCAGACCGACCATACACACCATACATACCCAACATACCATACCACACCCCCAGCACACCACAGGGGGGGAGGGGGACAGTACCACACCCCCACCACACCACAGGGGGGGAGGGGGAAGATCTCATATGGGCAGTATATGGGACCCATCCCATGGGGGGGGAGGGGAGGTGGCAGGGCCTGGTGCATAAATATACGTTCAGAATCAGAAGGACTCAGACTCCGCACCGGACCACGCGGCGCCAAGCAGCAATGCCATCCTGCGCTGTTTCAGGATACCCCCATCAGCCAGCGTGGTCAATAGCAATAACCCAACAATCCCCAAAGCTGTGGGAGCCACTATACTAGTAGCATCGATAATCTGGTAAACCTAATAATAAACTCCAATTGATTTTACCACCACATTAGTCAAAACATCCATCTGTCAAATGGTCAAATGACAAATTATGCGTCAACACATCTGTCAAACATCGAAAATCACAGTTGTTGGCATGGTTGAAGATGTATGGAAGTTTTCACCATCCTCCAGACTTTGCAGGAATTTTCCCCTGCCTCGTTCGCCTCTTTCTGGTTCTTGAGGAACTTCATGAAATCACTATGCATGCAAAGTCGTGTCCTCCACCTCAATGGCACTTGGTGTCATCCGCACTAGTTGGTTATCGGCTAATAATTCCCACGATTCTTGCTTATTATCTCCTTTGTTTTCGAGCTGTCTCCCCATTTTTGTTCTGTGAATATGTCCACTCTATGGTGTGTAATCATCACCCTTCCCCAGCTTTCCTCAAGGCCATTTGCTGGGCGCTCCGGACCGGGCGACGCTGGAAAAGATCGCGGTCTCGGGAAGTTACTGTTGGTTTAAGAGAAAATCATAAGGAAACAGGAAACCATAAGTTATAATTATCATAAACAATTCATAAACCATTGTTTTCTTTTACCCCAAACATGGGTTCCTCCACTTGTTCTGTTTCATCCAATTCTGGGATGGTTTCTCGGTTGCAACCCCCACACATAATGTTGTGATCATCCTTCCAGCTAAGGGAAAAAAAACTCACCATGTGAAGCAACTGCTCTGAATACAAGACCTGTCCTGGTGTCTTGCACTTTGAAAGGAACTGAAATCACCTGACGCGGTGAGGACCTCCTCAGTGGAGTTCTAGTCTTCAACCACCAGAATTAGCTAAGACCCCCAACATCCTCAGATCTTGTATATAAGTATGCTCAATTCATCTCAATTCATCTCAATTCATCTCAATTCATCTCAATTCATCTCAATTCATCTCAATTCATCTCAATTCATCTCAATTCATCTCATTCATCTCCATTCATCTCAATTCATCTCAATTCATCTCAATTCATCTCAATTCATCTCAATTCATCTCAATTCATCTCAATTCATCTCAATTCATCTCAATTCATCTCAATTCATCTCAATTCATCTCAATTCATCTCAATTCATCTCAATTCATCTCAATTCATCTCAATTCATCTCAATTCATCTCATTCATCTCAATTCATCTCAATTCATCTCAATTCATCTCAATTCATCTCAATTCATCTCAATTCATCTCAATTCATCTCAATTCATCTCCATTCATCTCAATTCCCCCACTTTTCCTACTAAAATCCATCAAACCAGTGCTTCAACATGGCTTCCAGCCCGCTTCACGGTTCCACCGAGCCACCCGAAGGTTGGTGCTACCAGTGATCACCGCGCAGTACAGGGCGATCAGCGTGGGCCAATTGGAGTGATCCCTGAGTCCCATGGGTCACCGGTTGACCAATCGTTGACCAATGGACCAATAGACCGGTTGCTATTGGTTGGTATGGCTTGGTCGTGTTTTACCATCTTTTTCCAAGAACATCATGAATCATGTAAAATATTGTAAAATATCATATCCATTTTGGGTGAGAACGGAAAATCTGATGGTCAAGTTGATGCCGTTGATGCACATTTTAGAGATGACAACCACTGGGCCTCAATTTTGACCACTGATTCTGATGCTTCGGTGATTGGTGGACCCAGTAATCAAACACAGCTGGGGAAGTCCCATGAAGGGAAAAACCATCTGTGGATATAAAAGGGATTTCCATGGATTTCTCTTTTGCGATGCTTGCGATGCTTGATTTCGGGGCATGAAGAGTCTTTTCTATTTTATGTTCAACCCATTGCAAGAATATTTTGAGAAAATCAAGGTTGACGAAAGTAATAAGTAATGAAGAATCTTGAGAAATCTTGAGAAACTAGTCAAAAGCATGAATCAAGTTTGAAAGATATTGAAAATATGAAGACAACAGGGCTACAAATTTCCACTGGGAAACTGAGATCCTTGCTGTCTGAGAATCAAGATCCCGACGATCACCAGAGGTAACAGACCCAGGGCCACCACGACAGCCTCATCTATGTCTTCCATCAAGTCTTCCAAGGAATGATGATCTATCATGATCTATCAAGTCTTCGAGAAATTGCGGAACCGCAGGAACTCAATCTCATCACAATCTCATCTTTGCACCAGTTCTTGCTGACTTCAGTTGCGGGCGGGTACCCAAAGCCCCAAGTTGCAGAAGGTCTCGTAGGCCCAGTTCGGCCAAGATCGGTGCCTGGTACAGTTACCCACGCCACTATATCCCATTATATTCCATTTAATATCACGCCATTTGGGGAAAGATGATCTTAAGACCCACATCGCCACGCCGATGTATGATTGATAAACCACAAAACATAGAGAAGTCCCAAGTTGCCCGCATCACCAGAAGCACCAGCATCATGGCAAACACTGTCACTATGAGTTTCAAAACATGGGTGGCCTGCAAAATCCATTGGCAAGAATCCATATAGTTCCCCCCCAAAAAGTATCGCAAAAAATGTTAACGTCCTTTCTATGCCTCCCCTAAAAATGTCGACCTTCTTTCGGAGCCCCTTGCTAATGCCAAGACATCTGAGCAGTGCTCAGATCCAGAGTTGATGGGGAATCCGATAGTGAATTATGATGAGCCCCATTTATAGGGTACAGTAGTATAGCATAGTATAACCTCCTGGAAATAACCCTCTGTAACAATCAAGCAACAATACCAACAGGGCTTGAACGCAGTCGCTGCTCATCTTGCTTCCCACCCCTCAGCTGGTCATGCCCGAGACACGGAGGACTCACTAACAGCATGGCAATCCTCTCGAAAGACTGCAGCCTCAAAAACATCCAACGACCTTCAATGAGGGGCAAATGTGGCTGTGGATCAAAACCTTGAATGCCCGTGGAAATCCAGCAATACTGGGTATGCAAACCCCCATGAAATGGATTGATGACCCTCCCCCAATGTATGTAACTTTTCACCATGGCACATATTGGTGAATGGTATCATAGGTTTTGACCCATCAAGAGTAGTATCCAGCTCTCTCAAACTCTCACCAGGTTCCGAAGCTTTACACAGTCTTGGCCTCCCTGCATAGACCCACCTTGAGCTTCCTGGCTCAAATGCAACTGGTGGACTAAATCTCTTTGAAGGCTATGTTTGCTGTGCGGAGCGTCATCCGATCTTGGCTCATGGAAAACAAAGATTTGAAACCACCGACATCGCAAGGTGGTTTCATATCCAAGCTGCAGCCCGCTGTTCAAGATATTTCAAGCAAGTTCATTGCCTGGGACTTTTGGGACTTTGATTATGTTGATTCATTGACATTCACTGTAGGCCTTAAAAATCCTTAAAATCCAGCAATTTTGCAAAATAGACGAAATTTCCGTTGACAAAACGTGAAATTTCCATTGGGACGATCCACACAGGTTTGGATGAATCCATTTCTGCTGCGGCGGAGGCGGCGGCATGGGCACCTGGGTGTCGACACACATCCAGGATGGGCTCGACAAATCACATTTATGTTCATCAATATGATGCAATGTATATGTACAGGTGTATGTTATCATATATTTATTCATCATCATCATTATCACTTTCATTATCACTATGATTATCAGCATTATTAGTAATGATTATACATATATATTGTCCATACACAAACACTACCCCATAAACAAGCGGAGACAGATCACATACATGCACTTTTCGCATCTCAACCTATCTCAACATAGCACATCTCAACATATCGTTCTTGCAACTCAGTTGCTGGTGGCACATCTTGCTGTTTTCCAACAACTCCGGGCACCACTCTGTAGAGCTGCAATAGGATCTCTTTGGGAACCTTCGATGGGCCATCGTGTGGAGCCGCATGAAGGACGTCCAAAAATGCATTGAAGTGCAGGGCGTCCTGGGCTGAAACTGCTGGAATGAGGCCCTCGGAGATAGGGAAAGCCATGGGAAAATCATGATCAAAATCTAACTAATCTGTTTTAAAAATATGTGGGAACCGTATTTGTGCAACAGACAGGACTTCAAAAAATGGATGTAGAGAACAGAATCTGTCAATTTTGAATAGCATTCAGTTCTTGACATTACAAGTTCCTGCCACCAACGTCCAAAGGGCAATTTCAACCTGCAACTGGCACATGACATGTCAATAGAGCGAGCGTCGGGCGTGGCGTGTAGATTTGGCATGGTTTCTAACAAAGCAAATGCCACTTGCCACGAGCGCAGCGCAGCATCGCCCGAAAAATCTGCTGCAGCAGCTGGATGTCTGAGTGAATTGATCACAGTATTGAAACCAAATGCATCTGGCTGAACTCTCAGCGTGAGCATTGCATGCAACAAACCCAAAGCATGATGCCATTGCCCCTGCTTCTCACATGCACTGATACTTGAGTTGAAGGTCACTATGTCGGGTTGAATGGCAAGCCTGGGCATGCCTTCCAACAAACTCAAAGCCTGCTCCCATTTGCCGTCCTGCTTAAACGATCCAATCGTTGTGTTGACGCTGATTACATCTGGCTGGCAGTTTCTCTCAGAAATCCTCTTGAATAGACTAAGGGCATGTTGCCATTGCCCACACTTTGCAAAGGCGCTGATGGTGGCATTGAAACTGACAATGTTGGGCTGGATGCTCTCCTGTGGCATTGTCTCAAATAGCTTTACAGCTTCCTGCCACCGGAAAGCCTTTTCACAGGAACTGATTGCTGCACTGAAGCTGAGAACATCTGGCTGAATAGCATTCATGTGCATGACTTCAACTAATGCCAGAGCTTGCTGCCAATGCCCAGCTTTCTCGCAAGAACTAATTGCAGCATTGCAGCTGATCAAGTCAGGCGATATCTGAGCACCTGGCATGGCATGCAACAAACCCAAAGCATGATGCCATTGCCCCTGCTTCTCACATGCACTGATGCTTGAGTTGAAGGTCACTATGTCGGGTTGAATGGCAAGCCTGGGCATGCCTTCCAACAAACTCAAAGCCTGCTCCCATTTGCCGTCCTGCTTAAACGATCCAATCGTTGTGTTGACGCTGATTACATCTGGCTGGCAGTTTCTCTCAGAAATCCTCTTGAATAGACTAAGGGCATGTTGCCATTGCCCACACTTTGCAAAGGCGCTGATGGTGGCATTGAAACTGACAATGTTGGGCTGGATGCTCTCCTGTGGCATTGTCTCAAATAGCTTTACAGCTTCCTGCCACCGGAAAGCCTTTTCACAGGAACTGATTGCTGCACTGAAGTGGAAGACATCTGGCAACACAGCTGCTTTGGGCATTGCAGTTAGCAACCCACAGGCCTGTTGCCAGTCTTTTGACCTGGCACATGCAGAGATGCCTGTGGTGTAGTGTCGCTGGTCCAAAACGATCCTGCGCGGCTTAAGTGGGGGGCAACCCCCAGCCTTTCATCACAGGTAGCACTGTAAGAATCACATTATGCATCTACATAGCAGTTGATCCAAATTTCTTTCATCTGCAAACGGCCACTCTTCGCGCAAAATCAATTTACGTTCGCGAATCTTTCGCGAGCCCACGTTTTTCTTTCGCGGGGTTATCATTGTCCACTTTTGTGCTGCTCAGACGCATGCAAACTGCATGTAAAACGGCAACTGTGTGAGTGATCCGGGAGACAGCCAAGGGTAGGTGCAAGGCCATGTTGGGAGAATTCCACCAGGAAACAACGGAGTTTCATTGCTTCCTGGCTCCCTTGACATGCAAAGGTGCCATGTGGGCTATGGGTTTCCATGGACACCTTCTCTTTTGCCACTGCTTTCGCAAGACTTTCGCGAAACTTTCACAAAAAACCTTTGCAAATCAACCAAAAAAAACACACACCGAAGCGGGGTTGCGCATGCAGCTCCACTTGATTGCAAATAGCACGTGGGACTATTCTATTCCTACATTCGCAGTTCGATTCAGAAGGTTTTCACTTCACACCTCGAAAAACAAATAATAAACCACGACCTCATCAAAATAAACTTGCACTATGTCACTATATATATAAATCTTTCGCTAAACATAATTTTCGCGAGCTCAAAAAAGACTTTCGCGGGGTCTCATGTTGTAACACTGGCGGCCTTTGTGATGGAGAATCCCTACATGGACCTTTAGATCAACTCCCACGTCCATTGGCCAATGAACTGCAGTGTATGAACCTCGCATGAAGATCAAATTCTTGGACACTGGCATCATTTATAAAACTAATTCGCCGATTCACCCAGTGGTGCAAGACTCACTGAAATGGTGTTCCAATCTTTTCACGTCAAAAAAATGGGCGTACTTCCGTACAAAATAAGCCACGCTAGCACAGCCAAATGGACCATCCGTGTTTTCCTTTAGCGCCCTGGAATTCTGGGGAGTCCCAATTTTGGCCCCCATGGCACGAGCCCATCCTCCCATCTTCTCCAAGGACTTCCAATACTTTGACCAGCAGCTCCGTTCGCCTCTCGTTGCTCAAGGCCTTCAGCAGGGGTTGCAGCTTTGGTCGTTCTTCTTGCAGCAACGGCAGGAGTACCTGCAGAAATCGTTGCACGAGCCTTCTCCAGAGTTGATTGCTTTGTTTTCTCCATGGTTTTCTCAAGAATTTTCGGTGAACCATGGCAAGACCAGTCAAAAAAATGGCTAAACATGGAGATTTAACCATGGTACCTTTGGAATCCAGCACTGAATTGCGGTCCAGTTTTTGGCAAAAACTGAGGGTGCTCGCCTAGATGAAACTGACAGTCCCACACGGGTCAATCTCCTGACCGCCAAGACACCAGTCTCTTGATCTCCTCCCTGGTTGGTGGTCGCCCAAGTCTTTGCAGCGCAGAGGACATTGGGTGACTCCATCCTGCAAAGACATTAGAAGAGTATAACCATCTTGAATATCATCGTTTTTGTACTGTTTTTGTATATCATTCAAAATACTAGTTGAGATTTGGGGATCTCTAATTACCAGGAGCAACCCCAAGTTCTACAGGCACTGCGATGTACATATTAGGTTCAAAATCAAGGCATCTTCAAAGAATTGTTCAGTTCCGTCGATCGAGTTTTACAACAAGAAGGGGCAAAGGAGTTGTTCTCCTACCGCAGTTGGAGAATTACAGCCAGATCCCAGAGCAAACACCCTCCGTTCGCTTGCCAAACAACAAGGGCGATCGCGCAGCATACTCTGAACCCTCCCTTGGTTTTACCCGATTTTACTGCCGTAGCCCATTAAAATTGGCTTCAAAGCACCTCTAGTTTTGGAGAGCGGATTTTTTGAGGATCAGACTGTCCTTTAGCCGCTTCCTTTCCAAGCCGATGCATGGCAGCCCAGGGCAACACAGTTCATTTTGCTGCAGAGGATGAGGCTTGAACGGAGATGCTGCATTCAACAAGCTATGGCTGTACTTTTGTGGGGATAATATTCATGGGATGCAATTCTACACTTACACAAACGGGACACAGCCAACAATATTGATTTGTGAGTTTGTCAGAAAAAGGAATTGGATGGAACACATCATCAGCAGTGCAGCAGTATGGGCCTATGAATTATATATATACACATATATATATATATACATATTTATATACTCATATATAGAATCTAATGTGATATATGACCAGCACTAAAATATGTTACACATGTCAGGTTTGTCTCCAAGTGGGGGGATGCCGCAAAACAACAGTTTGAATCGAAAAAACACTCATGAAGCATGATGCTAAACCATAGGATTTTTAAGGGCACCCCCTTCTTGGACGAACCCTCTTGTCGAGTTCCATCCATCATCCAGAAAGGTAAAGGTGAGGTCGAACCTTCTAAAACTAGGGAGGTCATGAAGAAAGTTCAGCAACAAACACGGTTGTAAAATGGGGTAAGCATGAGAATTCAATGCATGCCAGCCAATTATTGACCAACAAACATTTAGTGTCACCAATCCCATTTCAACAATATTAGGGTATTGGGAGAATCATCGTTCCCTTTCAGCTTCAGGGGAACGACAGCCAGTCTGCAGGTCTAACATGCTCTAACCGAGTTTGATCCTTTGAAAGTTGGTTCATTGCTTCGTGGTGCTTAAAATCCACCAGCTTTATGAACTGTTGAAAATCCATCCCTTCCAGAAACAACAACAAATGAGCACAGGAAAACACTACGTTCAATGGTAAAAACAAATAGTTTCCAGTTTCCATTTAAACAACCCAGTGAATCCTCTGTAAAATCAGGTGTGCGCCTCATGCCTGTCCGTCTCCAATAAGGGGGTGCACCGCAGTTCCATGGGGTCAACTGTGCCATTACCTCCGGCGTTGTGGCTAGATGCCAGAGGTTTTTCGTGACCCAAATCCAGGAAAATTCAGATGTCTGAATTTAGTGGTGCTTCATTTCAATCGTGCTTTCGCTACAGCAAAACTCCAAGTGTTGTTTGATTTCAATTCGCACAAACATCGCAATTTTGACTGTTCATTCAATCAAATGTTATTGGTTCCTCTCGGCCAACTGCCACATTTTATAATGCACATTACATCGTTTTTTCTGGCATGTCAATGTAAGGCTCTTTGGTACACATCATTACCGCTCCACTCCGCGTTAATGGTACCCGTATGGCATTTCATCTGCATCCGGTGTGTGAAGCGAACACATTTTGGTCTGTAGGCATGTCTTTGTCTCGGTGGATTTTGAAGAGGTTGGAGTGGGCCCTGAATCTCGCGGTTTCATCATATTTTCATCTATGTTCACCCATTAAATTATGATTTTGAGGTATCCTCATTGGAAAAAACACGGCCGACGGCCATGGCATTCTGAACTCAGCCAGATCTGTGAATCCCAGCTCTTCAGCTCCCTTTGAGAGGTGTTCTCCACCACGTGAGACTCCATTTCCTGTCCCATGGTTGAGACTTGTGATCAAAAATGCTCAAAACCCAACGGCCCGACCTTTGGCAAAAGAAACCTCCGCATATCTCAATGTTTGAAGCCAACGCGCGCAGAAAAAAACATGAAAAAAGCGACACCTCAACCAAATCAACAGTCACTATCCTCCCAGACCCAAATGTTACCAGATGTTCGGCGTCAAACCCAGAACTGTTTGGCGAGGTGAAATCCCCACGTTTGCTGAAGCAGATCTGACCCATCTCACCCTGCCTGCTTCAGGGTGTGGGGAAGCTGGATCCTGGCACCACGTACTTTCGACCAATTTAATTGTACGCAGATATATCATATCTCGTCATATCTGCGTATCTGTATGTGTAGAAATACATACAAATACCACAGAATCACATAGAATCACAATACAGGATGTAACAGGATGTATCATCCAAACTCAAAACATATCCTCAACGCCAAAAAAATGGCGCGGGATCCCCACAGGAAGAGGAAATTCGACGGGGTTCTAATGCACTGTAAGGCCTGATGTCATTGCAGCGTTCGGCCATTTACATATCATGTGGGATTATTTTGAATATTCCCCATAACTGGCTAATAATCAATTAAATCATATATCATATATTAATAATATTAATATATCATATAACCCATTGGGTTTAAAATCCATCGTCCATCAATTAGATCATGGGGTTTATTGATTTAACTCATCAATTGGATGCCACATTGGATCAGCTCCAATCACTGGTCACCGGTCACCAGCTGAAACATGGATGCTACTACCCACAAGCACGATTCGCGTTCACGAATTCTGTGTATTGTGTATGTGTGCATGATCCTTCAGGTCTATGTATAATGAATAGTTATTTACATTATATATATATATTAATATATATATATTAATATAAATATATATATATATATTAATATATAAATATATATTCATATGTTTATCTATATTTAACTATATGTGTCGAAATTCGTCTATATATTTATCTATATTTATCTATATATTTATCTATATTTATCTATATATTTATCTATGTTTATCTATATTTATCTATATTTATCTATATTTATCTATATTTATCTATATTTATCTATATTTATCTATGTTTATCTATATATATATATCTATATTTATCTATATTTATCTATATTTATCTATATTTATCTATATTTATCTATTGTATTTGTATATGATCCAGGAAATTTAACATGATACAGCTCCAAAAATAAACAAACATAATATGTTCAGGTTCCAATGCCGAGCTCCAGCGGTGAAGGCTAGCTTCTGGTACGAGTAGTGGTGGATGTTCCCAGTCAGATGGCTTCAAGATGGTTTCATAGGTGCCATTTTTCATGTTTGAACCCCGAACAGCCCGAACAGCCATCCATGGTAAGCTGCCAGTGGCACGGTGCAGGACGCTGATCAATCAGCAAGAAAGGAATGGACACCAGGACGATGTGAATGGCCACACCTCGGCGACGAGGTCAAAAAACCAGCGAAAGTTAGTGGGATCCTTGGGAGATCTGTGCACAACTCATGACAACATAAATGACTTATGAGCAATTTAGCAGGGGAACATGAAAGTCATGAAAGAAAACGAGGTTTTGAACCATGGGAGAGTTCCCATCTTGTTGGACAAGATAACCCCAAAAAGACTCAAAAAGCCACAGCTGCAGGGTTCCCATCTTGGTCAATCTAGAGCTCTGACAAAGGGCCAGCTCCGCAATCGAGGTCTTGAGTTTTCCCACTTTTGACTTGACCTGTGACCAGGTCACCCAGGTCACTATCAAGTCTTGACAACTTGGGATGTCAACTGTTCTAAAAATTTTGGTGACCCCAAGCAGCATGGATTCCGGCTGCAAAATGGATGACAAGATATGGCAAGTTGATGGTCCAACAAGAAACATCCTTCCGAATCCTTCCCAACTTTGTCGGGCGCAGTGCGCACGTTGCATCTCCCCTTCAAAAAACAAGAGTGACCTTTGTTTCCTTCTTCGTCAGGGTGGAGCAACCCTGTTCATGTTTACCCGAACTCCAAATTCTCTGTTTTGTCGTTGATCACTTCCTTTCAGAAATTCGTCCTCCGGATTAAAATGGTGACAAATCCGTTGAAAAGAGTTGGGTACGGATGGTGGAACCCTGCAGTACCTCTAGTGAAGATCAAAATAGCAGGCAGTTGTGGATGTTCATCGACCAATAAAATCATGATATTTGATCATAGTATGGATATTCAAAATAATTTAATCACCCAATAAAATCATTATATTCCATGACATTCCATGGTACATGTTTGAAAAAGAAGAACATGTGTGACCCATCCCCCTCGGTGATCTCCCCGCCAGGACGATGCGAAAGAAAGTGGCCACCAAGTAGCCTGTGGATAGCCACAGATACCCACAGATGTTTTTTTCTGGTGGGGAAGGACACATGCAATTATAAATTGATCGCGATTTATCAAGATTTACCCAAACAAAGATGGAGCACTCAAACCGCAAACCTTTGGACTTTTGTGTGGTTTACGGCCTAAGCCCTACAAGTACCCAGTCCTGTTTCAAACTTCAGCTCTCCCATCCTGGAGGATTGGTGGCAATTCTTCAAGTTGGAGGGAACTGGCCCAGCCCGAGCATCTTCCGATGAAGCTCTTTTTGAATGACACCGCTTGGCCGGGCAAATTCACACCAGCCGCTCCACTGGGCGCACGGCGCACTGAATTCGGCATTAAAACGTCGCGGTTGAACCCTCCCGGAGTTTGCTCAAGAGAAAATGCACCCAGTGGTATCCCATCCCTTGGTCTGATATATGATCAGCCAAGATCCAAATATGGTGTGACATGTCATGTAACATTTTCGCAGTCATTCCTCACCATACCCAACAAGCTCCCGGATCGCCATCCACGCCATCGCTCAGTCCATCGGATCTGCCTTGGAGTTGGGACCCTGGTATTCAGTTATCATCCATTTGCAGGCTGGTAATCTGGTAATCCCATCACCCTTAATATCAAACACCCCCTAGAAACCATGGGGCCATGGGGGTGTTGAACATGGGGATGGGATTACTATGTCTCACCTGAAAAACCATGAACCATAGGAAGAACTGTCTGCGACAAACCTCCAAAAGTGATGCTTGAAATCCAAAAAAAAATCCAAATGATTGATAAATTCCACACGTGAAAATGTGAGACGACCTCAAGTCAGACTATTTCTGGCCTCCTCCTCCTCTGGTACTTGCTCCAAGCCCCGTTGTGGTCGCTTGGGCATGGTTCCTGGCAACCGACCTACTGCTCCACTTCGATCTCGACCCTTAAAGTCACTAGGTCAATGGTCAGGTGGGCGTGATATCTCTGTGATATCTCTTGGACATCCTTTGGCTGACCCTTACATCCTCTTGTTCTTTTTTGTTTTTTACTCGTGTCCATCTCCATCCTGGGTGTCTCCTTCATGGCCAATCTTGGATACCCTGCAAACAAAAACTTCGTTGGAGAGTCGACTTTCCCATTTCTAATTCTAGCCAACAAACGGTCAAACGAGAGCCAGGCACTTACCAAACCAAGGATCATTGGATAACGGGAAAAATCCACAGGACCCCATGGCCTATGTCATCATCTTCCACGGGCACCACCTCGCGTCCTTCTGCCCAGTCCCGACGCTGCCGCACACGTTGCATGAATTTGCCTGGCAGTAAATCCATGGCTTTACGCTTTGTCTCCAAAATTACTGTGCAAACCCAACATAAACCAACCATTTACGAATGCGATAGAAGCAACAATATCATATCCCAAAGCGGGAGGAGGGTTACCCTCCTGTGGCGATTCGAGCATGGGGATGATCAAACCCTGGGAAGGTTCCAAAGTCACAAACCGCAGATGGGCATGGATCACAAGGTAGGTAAGACCCACAAAATAACCACTAGTTTCATATCGAAGTGTTGCCACTTTTGCAGTGCCCAATCTTGACTTGATCCATACGGTCCATACCCGTACAAAATTGCCTTCAAGCGGTTCACTGGGGAACACCGTAGAGTCGTAGAGGTTTGGGCCACCAGATTTTGGCCACGAGTGCTCAACATCTTCAAACACATTTCAAACATCTAAAAATCCTTTGGGGATGTTTGGGGGTCAACAAGTTTGAACCATGGCCAGCATGGCCAGACGTTTGATCACTTCTGTCAACTACGGAACCAGACATTCTCTCAGTTCAAGTGGCAAAAGGCCAGGTAATCCTCCGAGGCCTCAGTATGATGGGATGAGTTGTCGTCTCCTGGCCGTCGTTGTTTCGTTGGAAAATACAGTTGCCAAACACTGAATTCACCTGTTTGCGCATTGATCGCAACCAATATATGGTATCAGATACAGATGATACAGGTGATACAGCTGTGCTAAGTGGATCAAGTGGGAAGAAACTGGCGCAATTCTGTCAAGTGGCTGTCAATGAATCAATCAGTGCCTCGGTCAGAAACTTGAGAGTTTGATGCACTTGTTGTGCATCCCATTTGGCCGTGGTGGTTAAACGGCACCGAAGGTGAACACCAAAATAGCTGCTAGTTATGGATGTTCATGCCCTCAATTCACAGGGATTATCTCAATCCCAGGGTTTTGTTCAACGGTTGCTAGATCAAACGTCATCAGTGTTACCAACAGACTGAGCCCATGTCCGTACCTTCGCATGATTCCAAAACTGGGAGATTCACCTACCTGTATCCTTTATCAAACATGTTTTACCCAGAAATACTTTGGGATACGGGTACCCTCCGTTAATCTCATCTGACAATGGAAACGAGCCATTTGTTCATATCAATCAATTGACATCATCGGAAGTCAATGATTTGGATTTGTCTGAAAAGGGGGTTATTTTGGGGGTACCCTCAAATTTTCTGTTTGATCATTTCGACGATATTCGATCAGCAGCAGATCATCACAAAAACCCCATCCAATCATGGTCCAATTACCAGGCTACTCGGGTATCTCCAGGATCTTCCCGTAGACTGGTGGCCACTTTGTCCAAGAGTTCTTGCAGGTCGAGACCCTCCTGGTGATTCACAGCTAAGCCTTCGCCGGCGAAACCAAACTTCGGTTGATGCAGTTGGGGTCATTGATAGTGTTTGGTTTATGGTTTCGATGAAATTTCCGTATGCCATAAGTTGATGGTCACTTATGATAAATGCTTGGATGTTTGGTTTGATGTTTGGTGTGATTCTTGGTTTGATTGTTGGTTTGATAGGGTCATTGATGGTTGACCGTAGTTGGGTTTATACCACATTTGATAGGTGATCGCTGGGTAGAAGTATTATTGATAAGTTAAGTTATTGATGGTAAACTGGGATATGCCCCGCCCTTCCACCCAAACTATTGCAAAAAAAACTTGATAAACAAGTGGAACTGCACCCCCAAGAAGGACCAGTGCATCATTTGCATGCGTTGTGTGGGCGATTGTGAGCAATTTCGATGAATTTTGGAGGCAATACTGGGGGATCCAACCTGGCATGATAGCAGTTACTTGCAGTTCGGGGAATATTTGGAAATATTTGGAAGTATTGATGACTATGAGCATCCTATTTGGGAAAATACATGATTTTTTTGTGGACCCCAATTTTGGATCTGTGGGGATCCAGCATTTTGACGAAAGAAAAAGTGTGGGGGATCCAAGACCTTGATCAGCGAAATCATAGCTATGGAAAATTGCCCATTTATAGATGATATGTGATGAATTACATGTTAAATTGGTAAGTTACCAAAGGTTTGACCCAATTTTTGAGGATCCACAACTTGGAAGCACCCACCTTTAGTCAGATCTGCTGGGATTTCCCTCAGCAATGCTGAGCTCTTACTGTCACCCGGCTGCTACCATCAGATTCTTTGTTTGGGTATCTATAAACTTCCCCAGAAAAAATGGCAGTATATATAATCATCCCATCAATACGGACCATCTCTAACCTCTGGCAATTTCAAACAGCTATTTAAGTACATGCGCGTTCAAAAATATGTGTTTGCTATTTAGCTATGGTGATTTCCAGTTCGCCCTGTCTGTGAGTCATTGAGGGTGCAGGATGACCTAACCTGAACGGCCGGTCCTGCTCGCAGAATTCACTTGCTCGACATTCAAAGAGCTCTCGGTACTCCGCATGCAGCGCGGTGAATTCCAAGGGATGTTCCCAGCGACTGGGAGCTTCCAAAGGAAACCTCGGAGTTAGCTTGGCAGGGAGCGACATGCCGACGGTTGGAGGGGATTGAGCCACAGCCAAACTGGGTAGTTATGAAGTTTCATGCGATCGGAAATTTCAGCCCCCCAATACCTTGCCAAAGCAAGAGGGACTTCAGCTAGCAGAAGCTAGCTTTCGTGACCAGAATACAACAAGAATACAAAAATATAGACATGAATAGAATATATAAGACTCAATGTTCACAGGGTATGGAATGGAGGACCAATGCTCTCCACATGTTCCTCCCAGTGGTGCTCTCCACACCGGCACCGAGCCACTTCATGCAATACTCCCAAGCCCAACAGGAAATGTCCAGCAGGAAGTCCTGGGCAACGGCTGTCATTTCTATGGGATATAGCAACCCAACCCAAGAAAAGAAGTTAAATCCATCTAATAGATTAGATTAGATAAGATTAGATTAGATAAAATTAGAGAAGATTAGATATGATTAGATTATATATATATATTATATTAGATGAAGATTAGATATGATTAGATTATATTAAGATTAGATATGATTAGATAAGATTAGATAAAATTAGATAAGATAAGATATGATTAGATATGATTAGATTATGTATATTAGATTTAGAGTAGATTTAGATTTAGATTTAAATTTAGATTTAGATTGGATAGATGGATAGATGGATGGATAGATGGATGGATAGATAGATGGATGGATGGATAGATAGATGGATGGATAGATCGATCGATAGATGGATGGATTGATGGATGGATAGATGGATGGATGGATAGACAGATACATTAATTGTCTATCTTTTTTGGGGGTGAAAATAATATATGGCATCCTATGGCCTGTGGCTATGGGTCTATCACTTTGACACACCGGTCCTCCTCCTCCATATACTCCCGCAGCCCCCGCAGCAGCTTTTCGCTCACCTTTGTCATGGCGCGACGTGCAGCGTGCGACGGGTTCGCCTGGAATCTTTGTTATGAAAAGATGCCACTTTACTGAGGAACAAGAGGATAAACCAGTTTGTGGAGTAATCTATGTTCGGAAAAACGCTCACAATCTGAACATCTCAAATTCAGTCTGGTTAGGTATAGCTGGCTTATCCAGTTGTTGTTTTCTGTTGTCCTAGATACGCTTGAGCCAATGCACCAAATTGCTGCGTTCGGAGGGCTGCATGGTGCGGACCTCAGGTTTCGTTGATGGGAAGCTCCCTGATACCCAGTTCGACCATTGCCAACTTAAAGACCTAAATGAAAACATCCAGGAAACCAAAAATAAAGACATCTACAGCATATATACAGCATCTAGAATCTCTTGGATTTCGGGTAAAACGGGAAAATATGTTTCTTCATGTTTCTTCGCCCAGTGCACCGACCGGTCGCTTCAGCTCAGAGAGCCTACGGTGGAAGAGAAGGGAACAAAGTAGCGGCAATCCCAGCCTAAGTGAGGCCGGAGTGGCGGCTATGATCTGAATCATGCCACCAAAAGCAGTTGCAGACTGATGATAGTCGTAATGCCAAAAAAAAAAATCTCATCGCACCCACCAAAGTCTTGCGTCACACCTGATGTCCCATCTTTACGGCCGGTAACATGTGGCCCATTGTGGCAAGCTGCGCGCTGCACCCTCCAGAGAAATCAGCAGCGAGCAGCCCTCAGTGCCAGTGGATGTGGATGATCAAATCACAGGGATCCGACACCACCCATTCCGAGGCGCAGGCCGCCACAGGAACGAGCCAGAAGGTGGTCCAAGAATACTGGCGCTTGTGCCAAGTGGATAAGGTTGGATACTGTGGATAGCAGATGATAGCAGACCGCACTGGATGGCTACTCAAAGACACGCTTCAGGTACCAATTCTCCATTTAGTTCAGGGATTCCAGCATATCTTACCATGTTTTACGATATGTTCCTATGATTTTCCCATCTTGATCAGGGGATTTCCCAGCTGGCCATGTTTGATTAGCAGAGGGTAAACCCCGGGAGGCTCTGCGCTCAAATTTCGCGGCCTGCTGGAAGTCAATGGTACGGTTCTCCAGGATGTAGCACACTGGAAGACCAAGCATCCTGGGTGCAATGGTGATAATGTGTATATATGTATATAGTATGATATATATATATATATATATGATATATATATATATGTATGTATGGATGGATGGATGTATGTATGTGTATGTGTATGTATATGTATATGTGTATGTGAATGTGTATGTGTATGTGTATGTATATGTGTATGTGTATGTGTGTGTATATGTGTGTATGTGTGTATGTGTGTATGTGTGTATGTGTGTATGTGTGTATGTGTGTATGTGTGTATGTGTGTATGTGTGTATGTGTGTATGTGTGTATGTGTGTATGTGTGTATGTGTGTCTGTGTGTATGTGTGTATGTGTGTATGTGTGTATGTGTGTATGTGTGTATGTGTGTATGTGTGTATGTGTGTATGTGTGTATGTGTGTATGTGTGTATGTTGTATGTGTGTCTGTGTGTGTGTGTGTCTGTGTCTGTCTGTCTCTGTCTGTCTCTGGTGTATGTGTCTGTATGTCTGTGTATGTCTATGTTGTATGTGTCTGTCTGTGTCTGTCTGTGTCTGTCTCTGTCTGTATATGTATGTCTATGTATGTCTATGTATATCTGTATGTCTATGTCGGTGTATATGTATGTATATGTATGTATATGTATGCATGTATGCATGTATGCATGTATGCATGCATGCATGCATGCATGCATGTATGTATGTATGTATGTATATACATGTATGTATATATATATATGTATGTATATATATATATGTATATATATATATATATGTAACATACTATTTTTATATACTTATATGCATATACTTATATTTATAATTATATATATACATGCATTACGTTGCATTGCGTTGCATAGCATTAGATTACTGCATGTCATATTACATCACATTGCATTGCATTACATTGCAATGCATTGCATTGCATTACATACCATTACCATTGCATTACGCTACGTTGCATCGCGCTACACTACACAACACAACATCATGTAACACAACAGTCACAACAACAGTACCAGCAACAGTAACAGTAACTGTAAGAGTACCAATGACAAGAGCAGTAGCATGAACATTACATTGCATAACACTACATAACATTACGGTATATTACTCTATATTGCATTGAATTGCATTGCCTTGCGTTGCGTTGCATTGAGTTGCATTGCATACGTACATAATATGGGATGTTGGTATGGATCAAAACCTTCATACCCTGCTTCTACATGGATGTTCATCATTTTTCATCTCTCCAAAAGAAATATGCCCAATCATGTCCCATTGATTTTGGCCCCATGCCCATAGCAGCCTGCGGAGTTTCATCGGTTCTCCCTCTGATCCTGTTTTAAGATAAGAGTGATTTTGGACAACTGGCAGGGTTTGACCTAAGTGACACCAGTTCTATCCAATTCTCGGTTCCCCAGGGTTCCCCAGGGTTCCCCAGGGTTCCCCAGCCCCTCGAAATAGGTGAGCCCCGACAACAAGCCGGACAAAGCCTCGCAGCACGGGTGATGAAGTCATGACACCACCTTCAGAGCCTCTGAAGCTCAAAAATGAAGATAGAAGTGGTTATTATGAAATGAACGAAATAGGTATCATCATCATCATCATCATCATCATCATCTTCATCATCATCATCATCATCATCCCCGTCATCGTTGTGGTTGTTGTGGTTGTTGTGGTTGTTGTGGTTGTTGTGGTTGTTGTGGTTGTTGTGGTTGTTGTGGTTGTTGTGGTTGTTGTGGTTGTTGTGGCTGTTGTGGTAACACATCCCATCATCCCATCATTACATAACACATCATAACACCACCATTATAGTAGTAATATTACAGTAAAATTACAGCATATTTACAGCAAAATTACAGTAATATTACAGTAAATTTACATTATTACAGTAATATTACAGTAATATTACAGTAAATTTACATTATTACAGTAATATTACAGTAATATTACAGTAATATTACACTATTACACAAAGTCCAATGCCCTTGTCATCCCATCATCCCATCATCCCATCATCGGGCTCTGCACCGGAATGGCCGAAGAGTAGTCGCTCTTGGCTTTGGAGTAGAAGTCAACGGGCTGCCTCTGCACCCCGGCAGCAGGGCTCTACCAAAATCCCAGTGGGATGTTCATCTCATGGGACGCTCAAGTGGTTGTTTTGGACGACTATATTAGATGGATTAACGAACTAACGAACTAACGAACTGACTAACTAGCTAGCTAACTAACTAGCTAGCGAACTAACTAGCTAGCTAACTAGCTAGCTAACTAGCTACCTAACTAATTAACCAGTATAACTAACTAACTAACTAACTAACTACCTACCTACCTAACTAACTAACTAACTAACTAACTAACTAATATAACTAATATAATTAATTTATACAGTTATAATTATATACATGTGAGCTGTTGGTAAGGTTTTTCATTCAGCTCTCCCAGCTTAGAACGCTTAGCTAATTGGCTCATGCGGAAAACATGGTCGCCCTTGGCATCCGGACGACTCCGATTGAAATCGATTTCGATGTGTGAAGTGGCTGTACACAGTGCAACTGTAGTACCTCAATGCCAGAGCTGGTGGATTTCGAATGTGCGGACGACTGCCAGGGACTTCTCTCTGCAGTCTACATATGTCTACATGATATTTCCATGATATTTCCATGGTTTCATACCTTGATACCGTGAGCATGTCATCTAGTGGTTTCCTCGGACTTGGGCAATTCTGCTCCCAAGGTCCCAGCGCAAATGCCACAAACAACAGGCCCGCGCAACTTGCAACAGCCTTGACTGGTTGGTGGTTGGGCCATCCCCCACAAACAGATGCAAGAATCCGTGGGGATCGAAATTCCCCAAGTAAGATGGAAAGTAACACCATGTAACACCTATTCACCCCGCTTCGCGTGGGGTGGCCGCCCACACCGCAGGTTTATTTCGGTCCGTGAGAGGGGCTAAGGGTGGTTTTCCCCCGTGGGGGCTCTTCAAGCTAAGAAGTTTCAATAAGAAATCCTTCCAAAACATTGTTTTTGACAGTGTTTTTCCAATGTTTCCAGTCAAACAGACGGTAATTTACACGTTTTTTGCCATAAAGGCAGTAAATCCTTCCAAAACAGTGCTTTTGACAGTGTTTTTGTAATGTTTCCAGTCAAGCATACGGTAATTTACACGTTTTTTGCTATAACGTCAGTCCAAAACACTTGTTTTTGCAGTGTTTTCAATGCTCTGGCATCCAAAAACCCTGCAAAATCTTGCTATGTACAATGTTTTTTTCATTTTTGGCCGTTTTTCCATTGCCGGAAAGCTACCAAAATGACCCAAAATTCCATTTCAATACCCTCTTGCGCTCAGACACCCAAAAATCCTCGAAAAATGTCGAAAACACCACCGTATTCTGGTCTCGGTGCGAAACCGTTTTTGGGCCCCCCCCCAGCTAAAGCTGATATAGCGACTGCTATATTAACAAATGTCATTGAGCATTTAGTGTTGCTGTTGCCCCCCAATAAGCACGCCTTCACCGCCAAAGCGGTGTGGGCGGATTTCAAACCACCAAGTAGTGGTTCTACGTACTGTAGTAGCAGTTCAAACCTCCTTGCTAGGAAAAAAACAACACTGCAGACATCTACAGACATGTTGTTTTGGGTATCAAAAAAAATGCCAGATCTTTTGGGTTGGGACTCAACAGGCCACGCACCCGTCGTGCCAGGGGACAAAAAGTTCTCCATTCCTGGGGCGATGGCGGACTCGTGCATCGCTAGGGGGATGCTAAGGGATACACAATGGGCTTGGCCCAAAACATCGATAAAAATCAAAGATTCCAATTTATGGCCATTTTGAATGAACAATTTGGTGATACTCAGTTAATTGTAAGGTACTAAAGCCTCTTGACAGCAGAAATCCCATCCCTTGCCAAAAGCATCCAAAAACCAAGCTTCTGCAGGTGATGCAAATTCACCACCCTTAGGCGTCCATCGGGGATATTCGGGGATATACTGGAAATATCCCCGATGTTTTCTACTTTTATTTTAGAAAATGGTCATCAGTTGTGGATACCAAATCATGGGGTCGATCTTGCGAAGCAGTGCGCGATTTCCAGAGCAACTGCAGCTGGTCAAGACATGGGTATGGCTCAAAATTGCGGTACCCATAGACCTTCAACATTCGTCACTTTCCAAGAAAGAACGTCATGGTCGTGCGCGGGGTGATAAGTTTTGACCCATACCCACATGGCAAGTTGATGTAAGCCCCGGACCAAATGGATTGTTTTGGATCAGGAGAAGTATTTTTGATGATCTCAGCCGGGCAGTTTGGCATGTTTGGCAGCGGCAAAACCAGTTTCTGTGGTCAAACAGCAGCTTTCAGGGTCCCTGAGTCCCGGCATTGGATTCCATATAAGCACCAACAGAGACCATCAGTAGCATTGACATGCTCAAATACACCTGGCTGAAGCGCCGATCCTTCGGGGGTAGTGAGCAAACAAGGACCAGAAAGGGGGATCGCACTTGATTCAAGCCATCTCAAAGATCACAAACATACGGGGAAGAATAGCTAAATTATGTGAAAATCGCAATTCAGAGATCTTCAGAGCACATAAAAACCAAGAAGGCATGGTGCAAATCCAGCACTGTCCCAGCCAGACCATCAGCCATTTTGCCCTGGCGTTTCGGTTTTCCCGTGGGGGAGCGCCTCTCTGCTACGATATTGCTCTTGAAGTAGGGCAGGACCACAAACCTGGGAACCCAGGATGACAGTTTGACCCAAGGGTCCCAAGGGTCCTAAGGGTCCAAATTTGGGAAACCGGGAAGGCCCCGGCACGAGTTTTTGGTTTCAGTAGTTTCCATGACATCAGCAGGGGGAGGTTGGTTAATGGTGGGGTTCTTACCCAAGTTTGAGATTCTTAGGCTCGCAGGCATCACAATCATCACAATCCATATTCAGCTGTACCAGTAGAGCAAAACCTCACCCCGCCGCGAAAAGTTTGGGCACTCCGGGCCATGTTGGAAAATAGCGAGACCAGGAGGAACAGAGGGGCGACCTGAAATCAATGTGAACCACCACGAAACTCTTTGGTGTCACAGTGTCATTCTTGCGAATGCTGGTTTTCTCGTCGACCCTAGCGTTTCAATAGTCATCAATAGTGTTTGCTGTACCAACACACTCCACGTCCTCAAATACCGCCTGGGTGTGGGTCAAAATATGCCAACGCCATACCCCAGAAAAATGCATGGTTCAACGGGTTCAACACTAAAAATGCCACCGGGGTAGAAAAAAAACACCAGGGCCCCTGCAGTGGTCACTGGCGCCATACAGCCGGCTTGCCACCAAAGGATCACACCGACTCCTAGGGCTCAGCGGTCTGACCACGTACCTCGAACTTGCGCCTTCCAGCTTGGACTGTCCTCGAAAAATGAAGCTCCACCACAGATCTGAGGTCAGAAAGGCTTCTTTAAAAGTCAGGACCGTCTGCCTCAGGCTCTGCTCAGGCAGTTCCGGCTTTTCCGGACTCTTCCTTGGTGCTGACAGATGCACCCGAGGTGATCAAAAGGTCTGGTTCTTGTTATCTTCGTCTTTTGGAATCTCTCTTGTGAAGACAGCAACCAGTACCAAAATCTGGAGTCTCATATGATTCCCGATGCAAACTGCTGCGGAGTTATGCTGCTCTTGAATCTGACCCAGTCATGAGATAGCGCCAGAAATCTGGATACATCTGGTATACATGCTGCGAAGGTGTTGCATCATTCACTGGGTATTCCCACTTGGCTTCCTCCTCATCTTCGTGGCCTTCGATATTGGCATGGCTGTAACTCCGCCTGGCAATTGGCCAAGTCGACTTTCCAAGAATTTTCTCCCATGAGTCGCAGATTGGATGTGCTGATCTGTTACAAGTGCTGCAAGGGGTGCTT